ATTGGAAGTTTCCCTCAAGTGTCCAGTCTCTGTCGGCTGTTGGGGCGTGGTCCAGAGTGGGGGTGTGGAGCTTGCTGGTGTGTGGGTGCTGCTGTAAAAGGACTGGGTGGCGAGGTGGCCTGCACTTGCAGGACCTCCAGACGCCTGTACGCAGAGGTCTTTGGGGCCTTTAGTTTCTCCAAGGAAGAATTCTTCAGTCTCCTGCTCGGGTGGGCTGGGCTGGTGGTGTTGCAGTCTGGCTGCCAGTGGTTCAGGATCCAGGCAGGGAAGGGGCTGAGGTTTCACTGGTCACCAGTTTTCAGCCCCACGACCTCATCCTCTGCCGTGGCCAGTGTCCCCGAATCCAGCACATCTCATGGTCAGTCGCTGTAGAGAACAACCCCTGGTGTCCTGTGGTGAGTAAGGGGGAGGCATCTCCCACCTTTGCAAGGTTGGGGAGGGGACCAGGGTGTTCTCAATTGTAACCAGCCCCCTTGTATTCAGCTCTGAGCCTACCCCCACCTCTGCTGTTCCCAGTGCCTGCAGGTTCTGAAATTTTCAGGGGTGCTGGGGGTGACCTGGCTTGCTATTTATGGGGTATCCCCTCTGTGACTGCTGGGGTTCTAAATTTCTCTGTTCCCCTAAGTCAGCTGTGGTGCCCCAGCCACTTTTCATGTTCTAAAGTTGTGTTGAGATTTCTCATTTGCTGACACCTCGTCTCTATATTCTTGTGGGTTTTAAATATTTTATTGACATTCTTATACTTACAAATTTAACATTTTTGGCATTCTTCATTCCTTTGTATAGATCCAAGTTTCCATCTGGTATCATTTTCTTTCCACCTGAAGAACTCCCTTTAACATTTCCTGCACATCTTCTGGCGATAAATTGTCCCAGCATTAGTTTGTCTGCTAAAGCCTTTATTTCCTCTTCATTTTTGAATAATTTTTTCCACTGGATATAGAATTCTATGTTGATACCAGTCATGTTGGATTAGAGAAAAAAAAATCTAAATTGAAAGTTTTTTTTTTCTCCCAGTACTATGAAGACTGTCTTATTATCTTCTGGCTTGCATAGTTTTTTTTTTTTTTTTTTTTTTTCAGAGTCTCACTGTGTTGCCTGGGCTAGAGTGCTGTGGCACCATCTTAGCTCACAGCAACCTCAAACCTGGGCTCAAGCGATCCTCCTGCCTCAGCCTCCCGAGTAGCTGGAACTACAGGCATGTGCCACCATGCCCGGATAGTTTTTTCGATATATTTTTAGTTGTCCAATTAACTTCTTTCTATTTTTAGTAGAGACGGGGTCTTGCTCTTGCTCAGGCTGGTTTCGAACTCCTGAGCTCAAACAATCTGCCCGCCTCGGCCTCCCAGAGAGCTAGGATTACAGGCGTGAGCCACCGCGCCCGGCCATGGCTTGCATAGTTTTGATAAGTATGTAGTAGTTCCTAAACATAATGGGAAATAGCATTTCTTCAGTGTTTTTTGGTTTCGTTTTATTTATTTATTTATTTTTTGACAGAGTCTTACTGTGTTGCCCGGGCTAGAGTGAGTGCTGTGGCGTCAGCCTAGCTCACAGCAACCTCAAACTCCTGGGCTCAAGCGATCCTTCTGCCTCAGCCTCCTGAGTAGCTGGGACTACAGGCATGCGCCACCATGCCTGGCTAATTTTTTTCATATATTTTTAGTTGTCTGATTAATTTCTTTCTATTTTTAGTAGAGACAGGGTCTCCCTCTTGCTAAGGCTGGTTTGGAACTCCTGAGCTCAAACAATCCGCCTGCCTCGGCCTCCCAGAGTGCTAGGATTACAGGCGTGAGCCACCGCACCCGGCCTCGGTTTTGTTTTATTTTTTGAGACGGGGTCTCGCTCTGTCACCCAGGCTAGAGAGTGGCACGATCATAGCTCACTGCAGCCTCACACTCCTGGGCTCAAGCCATCCTCCTGCCCCAACCTTTGGAGACTACAGGTGTGTGCCATCATGCCTGGCTAATTTTTTAATTTTTTGTAGAAACGGGGTCTTGCTATGTTGCCCAGCCTCGTCTTGAACTCCTGGCCTCAGGCAATCCTCCTGCCTCAGCATCCCAAAGTGCTGGGATTACAGGTGTGAGCCACTGTGCCTGGCTGAGTCTCATTGCTTTGAATGCTTTTGAGATTTTCTTGTTATCACTGGCTTGCTGCGTTTAATTATGATGGGCCTTCATGTAATTTCCTTTGTGTTTGTCTTGCTTGGCGTTCATGGATCTTGGTTCTGTGCGTTTATCACTGTATTAGTTTTCACAGCAAATTACCACAAATTGGGTGGGTTAAACCAACAAACATTTATTCTCTCACTATTCTAGAAGCCAAAAGTCCAAACTCAAGGTGTTGGCAGGGTGGCAGTGCCCCCAAAGGCTCCAGGGAAGAGTCCTTCCTTGGCTCTTCCAGCTTCTGCTGGCTCCAGGCATTCCTCGGCCTCCCCTGCATCACTGCAGCCTTGGCCTCCATCTTCATGTGGCCTGCTCCTCTCTGTGTGTCTCATAAAGACCCACCTAGACAATCTAGGATGATCTCATCTTGAGATCCTTGACTTAATTAGATCTGCAAAGACCCTTTTTCCAAATAAGGTCACATTTCCAGGTTCCAAGGGTTAGGATGTGATGTGGACGTATTTTCGGGGTGGGGGAGTACCAGCATACCACTATGTAGTTTTTATCAAATCTGGAAAATTTTTTGCCACTGTTTCTTTAAATTGGTCTTGTTTTCCCTACTACTACTATTTTTTCTTTTTCTTTTCTTTTTTTTTTTTTGAGTTTTGAGACCGAGTCTCCCTCTGCCGCCCCGGTTAGAGTGCAGTGGCGTCATCATAGTTCACTGCAACTTCAAACTCCTGGGCTCAAGCGATCCTCCTGCCTCAGCTTCCTGAGTAGCTGGGACTACAGGCGCGTGCCACCACACTCAGCTCATTTTTAAAGTTTTTTGTAGAGATGGGGGGGTCTTGCTATGTTGCCCAGGCTGGTGTAGAAATCCTGGCCTCAATTGATCCTCCTGCCTTGGCCTCCCAGAGTGCTGGGATTGCAGGAATGAACCACCATACCTGGCCTCCTCTACTTTTTTATCTTATCCTCTGGGACTCCAATTACACATATATTAGTATGCTTGATAGCATCTTACAGATTACTGAGGCTCTTTGACTCTTTTCTCAAGACTCTTTTTCTCCTCTTTGCTTCGGTTTGGAGTTCTATTGCTATGTTTTCAGATTCACCATTTTTTTTATTCTGTAATGTCTAACCTTTTGTTAATTTCATTCAATGAATTTTTCATTTCAGATATTGTACTTGTTACCTTTATATGCTCGATTAGGTTCTTTTTTATATCTCCCATTTTATTCCTCAGAAACATCTTGCTCATGTTTTTCTTTAAACTCTCAAGTATATTGAGCCATCCATCATCTTTATAATTTCTGAGTCTTGTTTCTATTAAATTATTTTTCTCCTTATTATGGATCACATTATCCTACTTCTCAGCATACCTGATAATTTTTAGCTGGATATTGGAAATCTTATGATGCTAAGCATCTGGATTTTGTTATCTTCCTTTAAAGAATATTAGGCTTTGTTCTGGCAGATGATGAAAATTACTTGCAAAGCATTTTGAGCTTTTTGAGGCTAATCTTTAATCTGTCAGGATGGGTCTAGGTGAGCCTTTTCTCCAGGGATAGTTTAGCCCTACTACTAAGGCATTAACTCTTCTGGGATCTCTGTGGAATATGTTGGGTGATCAAAAAAAAAAACTCTCCACTTTAGCAGGTTGAAGCTTAAATGCCTTTCTGCCCTTGGTGAACTTTGAGAGTTTATCAGTTTATTGCTCCTTTTTGCATGGTCTTGTTGAGTTTCTCTACATGCATGTGAAGTTTAGAATTCAGCAAAGACTCAAAGGAACCCTTATACAGATTTCTGGAGGTTTTTTTATTTTATTTTATTTTTGTTTGTTTTAAATAGTTCACTCCTTTCCAGAACTCTTCCGTGCAACTTCTAGTTACCTCAGCCTCTCTGAATTCCTGTCTCTGTCTTCTCAACTCAGGGAGACCACCATGTTCTGCTGGGACTTCCCCTCCTTGAACCTCAGTCTAGAGTGTTCCTCCAGGCAGAAATCCAGGGAGGTTATCAGACTCACCTTGGTTGTGTTCAGGGATCACAGTTCTGGACTACCAGTTGCCTAATGTCTGAAAACAACTAATTCATGTATTTTGAAACAATAGTTTTCTCATTGTTTAATGTGGGAGAGTAATTTCATTTATCTTATGGTTGAAGTAGAAGCCTTTTACTGGCATTTTCATCGTTTTGACAAGGAGAGGAAGAGTTACATGCATGTGGTCAGTTCACTATTTAACTAGAAGTCCTAGACTCCTGAAATATATTTAAATATTTATGTTTAACAAACATATTCTTTTATTACACAACAAAAATCTCATGCAGTGTAATCATGCTATTCACAAAATAATAATGGGATTTATTCAAAACATTAGTGCATAGTATCCCACAGGCACAGGACATGGCTGTGAAGCTGTACAATGAACATGTTCTTTCATTCCTACCAGTGTATTACTGCAACTGTTTGCTAAACCTCACTCAGTGACAATGTCAATGATCTAAATCGGTAGCCTTTCCTAAAGGTGGTCTGGGACCCCCTAAGATAGGTCTGGTCTCAGGTACCCTCCTTGGCCGGCAGCCTTTCTGAAACACCCTCCAGTCCCAGGCTTACTCTTCCCAGACTGCCAACTGGGCCTTGGAGCAGGGAACCCAGCCAGGGGACCTGGGTGGACAGGAAGGGAGGAAGCCCCTCCCTCTCCCAGAGTTACTTTCTGCTCTGTCTCCTAAGCCTCTTTCCACCCTCCTGCCCCAGCTCATTGTGTCTGTCTTTTCCAACACCTTGGGAGGTGGGCAAGGTAGGTCAACCAGGCAGGGGTTGCTGCCTGCTTACAGGCTGTTGGCTCAGGTGGGCTACCCTGGAAGTGACCAGGGCTATATCTTCAACTCCTTCTCCAGGTGGACATTGAGCAGCTGGATCCTCGTGGTCGGACTCCCCTGCATCTGGCTACCACTCTGGGGCACCTCGAGTGTGCCCGTGTGCTCCTGGCACACGGCGCAGACGTGGGCAGGGAGAATCGCAGTGGCTGGACAGGTGGGCACCCCCGCTCACCCTGGCCCCACAGCCAGGGTCTCCCTGGCCTCACAGATTCACCTCTGGTTGGCTGAAGGGTCCTGCCCTGTGACATTGCCTCCCCCTCCCCAGTGCTTCAGGAGGCTGTGAGTACCCGGGACCTGGAGCTGGTGCAGCTGGTCCTGCGGTACCGGGACTACCAGCGGGTGGTGAAGCGGCTGGCGGGCATCCCGGTGCTCCTGGAGAAGCTGCGCAAGGTGAGGCCCAGCCTCTCTGCCTCCCTGCCGGGTCCTTGGGCCCGTGTCCAGTGCAGGCTCAGCCTCTCTCTTCTTTCCCTTCCAGGCCCAGGACTTCTATGTGGAGATGAAATGGGAGTTCACTAGCTGGGGTAAGGGGCTGCAGGTTCCCCTCTGGGCACTCACGGTCTGCTGCCTGGAGCTCTCTTCCCGTACCTCTTCCCATGGCTGGGCTCAGTGCCACCTCCTAGCTAGGCCTTTCCAGGCTGCCCCAGACACCTTCTCGATCCCATTGTTATTTTCTTCACTCTAATGGCTTGCTTATGTTAATGTATTACCCGTCGCCCCTTGCTAGAAGGTAAGCTCCAGGAGGGCAGGGTCCTGTCTTGTTCAATGTTGTATTCCCAGTGACCGGAATAGTGCCCGGCATGCAGTAGGTGCTCAATAAATATTTGTTGAAAGAATGGATGAAAGATTGAGTGAATGAATTAACAAATGGTGGGTGCCAGGGACTTCGTGGTGCCTGGGATACGCCTGTCCTGACCTTGGGTTGCTCGCATCTGAGCGAGTGTGGTCCACGGCGGCAGGGGAGGGCTTTGAGGAGGGGCTGCCCTCTCGCCAGTTCCCTCACCCTTTCCTGGCCATACTGAGCCCACCCCCCCCATCCCTGAGCTGGCCCAGACTGGGTGGCCAGGCAAGTCAAAGCCACCTCTGACCTCCACTTCCACCCAGTGCCCCTGGTGTCCAAGATCTGCCCTAGCGACACCTACAAAGTGTGGAAGAGCGGGCAGAACCTGAGGGTAGACACCACGCTCCTGGGCTTTGATCACATGACCTGGCAGCGAGGGAACCGCAGCTTCGTCTTCAGGGGCCAAGGTCAGGCAGGCAGGAGGTGGGGCAGGGTGGGGAGGACAGAAGGCAGCTTCACACCAACCCTGACGTCCCTGTGCTATTCCGTGGCTGGTAGACACAAGCGCTGTGGTCATGGAGATTGACCACGACCGCCGGGTGGTGTACACAGAGACCCTGGCACTGGCCGGACAGGACCGCGAGCTGCTGTTGGCTGCCGCCCAGCCCACCGAGGAGCAGGTGCTGAGCCGTCTCACTGCGCCTGTTGTCACCACGCAGCTCGACACCAAGAACATCTCCTTCGAGAGGTTGGTGGCCGTGGCCTTGGTCAGCCTGGAGCCAGCCTGGTGGGGTGTCTGCCTTACCTGGACCACTCTACTTCCCCAGGAACAAGACTGGCATCCTGGGCTGGCGCAGCGAGAAGACCGAGATGGTGAATGGGTATGAAGCTAAGGTGAGGCCACAGCTCTGGGCGCCAGACACGGCCACACTCTTGACTACAGCAGGCTGGGCGGGGGTTTCCTGACCGCCCTTCCCCACCTTTGGGGGTGCAGAAGCAATGCAGCGTGGAGGGAAGGGCATTAGCCTAACAGCCGATGAGAACGGCATCTATTGAGCACCAACATTCAGGTTCAAGGCACTGTTTTGACATTTTATATGGATGCACGCACGCGCGCGCACACACACGTACACACGTCATTTAATCCTACAACACCCCTTTCAGGTAGGTGCTTTCTGTTATTTTTCCCATTTTACATATGTTTATTGAGTCCTTTCCATGGTGTCCCTACTCTTCACAACAATTCCATGAAGTAGAGATTATTGTACCAATTTATGATAAGGAAATAGAGGCTTGCAATGGTCATATGACCTGTACAGCTGTAAGTGGCAGAGCTGATGTTCACATCCTGGCTGCCTACTCCAAAGCCAGGCCCTTACCCTGGAAAGACTCTGTCTGCCACTCTGGGAGCCCAGTGTTGCCCAGCACTTGGTGCTGTTGATGGAAGAAGGAACTAACAGACACTATAAAGTTCTGTATACGATGTCTCCTCCTGAAAGCTCTACAGGCTGGGTTAAAGGCCGACCAGCGCATGCATCCTGCTCAGTTATAACTGTCCATTTTACCGTCTCTCCAACTTGAATGTGAGCCTCAGGAGGGCAGAGATCGTGTCTGGCTTGTTTACCACTGTATCCCTGAAGCCCACCTCAATGCCTGGCACATAAAGGCTCCTCAAAAAATGTTTGTTGAATGAATAAGTGAATGAATGAATGAATGACTTCATATATTTACTTGCCCAAAGGCTGGGGGGGACTGGAGCAAAGAGCCCCTGTAGGAAGCCTTCTGAATGCCCTTGGGGGGCAGACCATGGGGGTACCAGAGGTGCCTCTGAGCCCTTTCCTCTTCTGTCCCCAGGTATATGGGGCATCCAATGTGGAGCTCATCACCCGGACACGGACAGAGCATCTTTCAGAACAGCACAAGGGCAAGGTCAAAGGTAATGAGGCAGAGATGTTTGGGGGGCAGGTGGTGTAGGAAGATTGGAAGAACCAGCTCCCACTTCACTGCCTCCTTCAGTATTACCTCTAGCATCCCAGCAAGAGCCAGGATGGTTTATTCAGGCAAATAGATTTCAATTCAAGTGCCAAGCCCTAGTGATTGCTAGTGGCTGTCTAGAGTAATAAGTTACTAAGGGCTCAATTGGGCTCAGCAGAAAGGCATACTGCAATTGATTACTATTGTCTGCATTGGACTTGGGTGGGCAGAGAAATGTCCTGTGTGCCATTTATTGGCTATTCTAGTCTAACGACATACCTTAGGTAGAAAGTCAGGGGACCCTGTCACTGATTCTGTGTGCCTGTTGATACCACACCTGACTCTCTGGGCACCAGTCACCCTGTCTGAAATGGAAGGACTTAATTCCTACCTCACAGGGGAACAAAATAAGTCATGAATATGTAAGTGCCCGAAGCAAAACATATACATACGCATGCCTACACCAAAGGGAGATATTTTACTGTCCAGTGTCACTCACCTGGAGAGTAGCACTTTTGGAAGTTTCTCCTGAGCCTTAAGCCTACCTTTTTTCTTACTATTTTAAGCTGTGCTTACAGCGGTCCTGGCCCCTGCCTCTTGGAGTCCTTCAGATGAAGGTGCCTGGGTATGTGGTGTGGGTGAGCAGCCTCCCACCCCAGGAGCCAGCCTCCTCCCTAGGTCTTGGGTGCCGTCATCTCCAATGAGGTGCCCAAGTGTGTGTGGGGCCATGGTTCCTCTGAGATGCCACCTTTCTTGTAGGCTGTAAGACGCCTCTGCAGTCCTTCCTGGGAATTGCTGAGCAGCATGGGGGCCCCCAGAATGGGGTGAGTGTGTGCCATGGGTGCCCCTAAGTGGAAGGGTGTGGATGTGGCTCAGGAGGAGGCTTGGGAGGCGTCCTGCTTAGCATGGCCTATGTGGACCTCTGTTCCACAATGCTCAAGGCCGTGTCAGCTGCACACTGGCAGGGGAACAGCTTGGGAGCCCTGTGGTACCAAATGGCTGGCTGGCATCAGGGACTGAGAAGGGCTTGGGCCCTTCCCCATGTGGTACAGACCCTGATCACGCAGACTCTGAGCCAAGCCAACCCCACTGCCATCACCGCAGAAGAATACTTCAACCCCAACTTTGAGCTTGGCAACCGTGACATGGGCCGCCCCATGGAACTGACCACCAAGACACAGAAGTGAGGCTCCCTGCTGGTGCCAGGGAGGGGTGGGCAGAGCTGGGGCTCCAGGAGATGCTGGGAGGCCTGGCTTCCTGCACCGTCCCTCACCCCTTGGGATCTGGGGGGGCAGGTTCAAGGCCAAGCTGTGGCTGTGTGAGGAGCATCCCCTGTCCCTGTGTGAGCAGGTGGCCCCCATCATTGACCTCATGGCCATCAGCAATGCGCTCTTTGCCAAGCTCCGAGATTTCATCACCCTGCGCCTGCCTCCTGGCTTCCCGGTCAAGATTGGTGAGACCCCACTGCCATTTTCCCTCAGCCCCTGGTGGGGTTTCCTTTCCGCCTCAAGGGGGCGGCGCTGAAGCATGAAGGGGCGGGTGGTGGCGCCTGATGGTTTCCTTATCCTCAGAAATCCCGATCTTCCACATCCTCAATGCTCGCATCACCTTTGGGAACCTCAATGGCTGCGACGAGCCGGTGCCATCGGTGCGAGGCAGCCCCAGCAGTGAGACCCCTTCCCCAGGCAGCGACTCCTCCAGCGTCAGCAGCTCCAGTTCCACAAGTGAGGCTCTCCACTCCCTGCCCAGCCCTGTCCCCATGCCCCACCAGGACGCTTGGCCCCTTCCTGGGTGGGACCAGCCTGTGCCTGACCCCCAGCCCCGCGCCCCCAGCCTCTTGCCGTGGCTGCGAGATCTCCCCAGCGTTGTTCGAGGCCCCTCATGGCTACAGCGTGCTGGGTGGCCAACGGGAGGCGGCAACACGCGACGACGATGACGACCTGCTGCAGTTCGCCATCCAACAGAGCCTGCTTGAGGCGGGCAGTGAGTACGACCAGGTGGGTCCCCGCGGCCGCAAGTGGGCACGGGACTGCGGCGCCGCGCCCCCTCCTCCGCTAACTGGCCCATGCCCCTCCCACCAGGTCACCATCTGGGAGGCGCTAACCAACAGCAAACCGGGCACCCACCCCATGTCCTACGAGGGTCGCCGACAGGACAGGTCAGTGTCCGCTAGGCCGGAGAAGATTTGGAGACGCCTGTATCACCCCTGCCCCCGCCTACCACACACGCACCCTGTCACACTGGGTGACGACACTGCGAGTTGAGCCTCCCCTCTTGGCTCAGAGAAACCGTGGTTCCCTCAGCAGGGACCCTACTGGTATCGGGACGGCTCCTGCCACCACCCTTTCCTGGCTCCTGGGTGGCTGGGCAGTGCTCCAGCGGCGGGCAGGGAGCAGGGATCCAGGCCTGGCGTTCAGGCCCTGCCCAGCCTTCGAGGCCTCTGAAGGAAGGGAGAACTTTGTGGGGGCTGGGATCTGCCACAGCCAGGTGGTGGCCAGGGCGGCGACGTGGGACTCATCGGCTCCACTAGAGAGTGGCGGACCTGCGCTGCCCTGGAGCCTCCACGCTGTCCCTCGGCCCCCGCTTACGGGCAGGTGCCTCGGGAGCCCTCGCCATATCTCCCCTGCCCCCAGGAGCGCCCCGCCCACGCCGCAGCGCCAGCCCGCGCCCCCGGCGTCGGTGCCCAGCCCTCGGCCTAGCCCGCGCCCAGGTCCCGGCGGCCACGTGTTCCGGAGCTACGACGAGCAGCTGCGGCTGGCCATGGAGCTGTCGGCGCAGGAGCAGGAGGAGCGGCGGCGGCGCGCGCGCCAGGAGGAGGAGGAGCTGGAGCGCATCCTGAGGCTCTCCCTGACCGAGCAGTAGCGCCCCCTGCCGGGCGCCTCGCCCACGCCACGCGGGACACTCGCCTACCCAGCTGCGGCTGAAGACTGGAGCCACCGCCTTGGGGGTGTAGCAGCGCACCAGGCACGAGACGGGGAGGGGTTCGGCACGGGCGCGGGGTACCTTTCCAGGCCAGGGCCCTGGAGGCAGCTGGCACGGCCGGTCCCCCTGCTTTGCCGTATCCCAACCCTCAACCCGCTCCCCTGGGCTTGGAGCTGTCCGAAGGTGGACCCAGGCGGTCCTGAGGGGGAAATGAATCCTTGGAGGAGCATTGTCCCCATCTCTTGCTCCTTCTGGTCGGTCCTCCTTTTTCCTTACTGATCCCACTCAAGGACACTGCCCCTGAAGACTCTGCATCTCTGCTCTTCACCCCTGGGGGGCAGCTGAGCTCCCCGCGTGCTGCGTTGCTGCTTTGTCCTGGACACAAACCAGCACGTCAAGGGCCCGGCCTCTCCCCCACCCCGGCATTTCAGCGTCAAGTGCACTTAGCGGGGTGCCCGGCTCCCCCAGCCCCCACATCCGTCCTGGGTCTCAGGGTGGTCCCAGCTTCTCCTTGGGCAGCCAGAAGTTGGAGTCCCATCTCCAAGGCATGTTTTTTTTGCGATCAGGGAGTGTGTCTAAGGTGGCCCCTTGGCCTGGGCAAGACCTGACTCCCTTATGGTGCCTTGGAGAGTCGGGGGCATATTGGGCTGGAGTAAGCACTAGACCCGATACCAGACTGGATACAAAAGGGTAGTCCAGGGCCCTGCACCACCACCCACCCCTTCCCACCAGCTGCTGCTAGCCCTCCGTGGTTGTGCGTCCCACTGGCCCCCACACGGGCTGATTCTTAAACCCTTTATCCAATGGTGCTAATCCCCGGCTCTCCCCTGCCCCACCTCACCCACCCAGAGAAGCACAGACCCCGCCAGGGGCAGGGGCCCACCGCACACCCTTGTCCTGGGCCTATCTCGGACTGGCCTTCCCAGCTCAGCCAGTGAGGCTCAGAAGGGACACAAAAAGGGACGGAAGAAAAGAATAACAAAGAGAAACTGTTCCTCCCACCCCCTTTCCTGATGCCAGGGGCACCAGACTGATTCTGAGGCACAAATAAAAGAGGCTTCAAACAGAGGCTTTTCCTACCTGACTTTACTGGGGAGGAACGCCCACGGTGCGGGTTGGGGGTCCTTCTGAACCTCAGTGTGGGGAGGGCTGTAGGGTATGAGGCTGCCTGGTGGTGCCTGAGCCCAGGGCTTCATTGCCAGGTTCCCCAGGAGGCTAGGGTAGCATCTGCAGAGGCTGGGGGGTCTCGTCCCCGCACCCCCACCCATGCAGGAGGCACAGACTGAGCACTTTGTTGAATGTTTCATTCGGTACGACTTGATTTCCTCACAGAGTCAAGGCCACAGCAGAGCGCTGGGGGCTGTGTGTGTGTGTGTGGTGAGCCTGCTTCCTCATGTCAGTTCTCCCGCGATTTCTCCGCGGGGGCTGCCGCGAGGAAGCCGCCCTCTCCCCGGTCGGGTGGGAAGAAGGAAGAGAGCCCGCTACCATAGATCGCTGTGGGCGCAGCCAGTGGGTCCGGCTCTGCAGCAAACGGGTTGTGTATGTGTCTGCAGAACTGGGGTGACGCCTGTCTGGTTTACCACTCAGGATGGTGGAATCGAGTGAGCTGATTAGGAGAAGCGCCGTCATTTTCCCCAGTCATTATGGGGAGACCCATAGAAGCGCCACCCCTTTGAGGTCAAGCTCAAGCTTCCAATATCCCCCTAAGCATCCCGCTAATACTAAGCACTTTCCCTGCCCTGGGCGGGGGACAAAGGGAACACTACCTCGCCGTGCAGCACCATTGCTGAGGCCCCGATACCCTAGGCCTCCCCAGGCCAGCTCCAGCAGGGTCCTGGACTAGGTGCGCAGCCCGGCCCCAGCCGGACGGACGCGGGGCTCCCCTACGCTTCATTTGTCCGGGTCTCCCGAGAGGGGCGGAGTTCCCGTCCCAGCCCCGCCCCCGGCCCAACCCAGGAAGGCGGGGTCTGGAGTCCGGGTCCACAGGCCGGGGCGGGGCCGAGCTTGTGCGCCCCGCCCCGCTCCGCCTGCCTGGCGCGGAGCTTTGCCCCGCCCGCAGCGCTAGTCCGTGCCGTCCACTAGCTCGCACAGCATATTCTCCAAAGCCGTGATACGCTGCTCCTGGGCCTGCACCCGCTCGCGAAGGGCCTTGATCTCCTCGAGCAGCGTCTCCAGGGTGTGCTGCTGCTGGGGCGCGGAGGACAGCAGAGGCCGTGTGGGACAGGGGCGGTAGAGGGATGTGTAGACTGGGCCTGAGTGGAGCGGGGCCCGATCTTACCGACAAGGAGGCGTCGCTGGCGGACTGGCTGCGGCGGGGGCCCGAGGGCGGGCGCGCGTCCAGGATGTTGCGCTTGGTGACCCGGAGCTCGCGGTGCTTGGGGGGTACGTAGCCGTCCCTCAGCGAAATGAGCACGGGTTCGGCATCCTGGCCCGATAACCATTCGTCCGCTTCTAGGGCCGGCTCTGGGCCCGGCGTATCCGGGTATAGATCGTCCTGGAACAGGTCTGACTGCGGGGTGGTGGGTGGACAGGTGGGACAGAGTGAGACGGGCGCCCGCCTGCTGCGCTCCCTTCGCCTCAGAGCCCGGCCCAATCCCTTTCTCTCCCGGCCCCTCACCTTGCGAGGCACAGTCATGATGATGGGTTCACACTTTCTTTCATGCAACTTGTAGAACCTGTAAGGGAGCAGGGTTCAGCACCCCCGCACATTCCCACGCTCTTAGCTTCTCGTCTGGGACCAGAGGTTGGAGACCAACACGCACATCGTACTACATTATCGGTTCTGTGGTTGAACACCTCTGAGGAGGTATTCATCGTTTACAGATGAGGAAAGTGAAGTTCAGAGAATGTCCGGCTAGTGAGCGGTGGGGCGGGCACTGAAACAGGCCAGTGTGATTCCTCCCCCCTTTTCCAAATCATTGCACTATAGGGGAAGCCCCGTGGCTAAGACCTGACGTGAGTGGGGGACAGAGGCAGGCGTGCAGGAGGGGCCAAGGCTGCTGACCGGGCGATCTCGCACTTGCTGACGTCCAGCCCCCGCTTGGGCATGAAACCCATGCCCCGCTGCGGCTCTTTGCTGCTGAACGTGTTCAGGTAGTGCACAAAAGGCGGCTCATCGGTAATCTCGAAGTACCGAATGCTGCTGTCGCCCTGCAAAACCAACCGGTTCAGAGGCCCGCCCGGACAGGGCCCTCCACGTCTCCATCCAATCCCCCGTTCTCCCTGCCCGGCCGCGAGCACCTTGCCACACAGGTAGACGATGCTGGAGTCGGGATCGTAAAAGGGCAGTAGGACCCCGTTGCTTGTGTCCATCTCCTGCAGTGCCACTGGCTCCTCGAAGTTGTTCTGCCCGAGCACAGGAGGCGTGACCAGCCCCGCCCCGCCCTCCTGTGCTACTTTGGGACCCCCAGAAGCCCGTTTATGCTTCCTGTCCGCCCCAAACTCGGGTGCCCAGAGCTGCAGGCCCCTCCCTTGGATACATACTCCTCCCCCGCTGCACTCATGAACCCCTGCGCCGCCGCATGCAGTCACAGCAAACCACCCCCAGGGACTCGGCATCACCAGGTGGGGGCGCCAGCGCAGGCTCCTTCAGGCGATGTAGCAAAACTGGGCAAAGGCCTGGGTGTGGGGATAGCAGGAGCTGCAGAAGTGGCAACAGCCTCCAGTCCCGTCCAGGTGGGCACGCCCTGAGGGTGGGGGGCACCTGGCCCCTCTCCCGTGATGCCAGTCCCCGGGGCACACACCCCAAGCCTCCAACTGCGTTACCGGGTCCCACAGGCCCAGCTCTCGCTGGCTCATGCGGGTGAAGCCCGTGGTGAAGATATGACCCTGGCGCGTGAAGACCGCCCGCATGGGCCTCATCCCCTCGTGGGCTGCAAACCTCTCCTGGGGGAGGGGGAGACAGGGAGGGGCATCACCCAGCTGCCTGCCCCGGGGAGCGTGGAGGGCTGAGCACCCAGCTTGCTGACTTGGGTGTGGGGGGCGGAGGCAGGGGAGAGAAAAAGGGGGCCTGAGAACTCAGCTTCCTGCGGGGCTATAGCTGGCCCCTGGTCTGGAGCGTCTGGGCCCGGAGAGAGCAGGAGGCGCGCAGCTCTCAGCAGATCCAGAACCCTTAAGCGCGTTCAAAGGCTGATCCCTAGAGCAGGGGATGTCTGCTGGCTCCCCGGGTTCGCAGCGAGGCTTTTCTCGAACGGGAGCTCCCCGCTCCGCTTGGGTGCTAGCCACAGCCCGGGAGGGCGCCCCGGCTGACCCTGCGAAGGAGCGAGCGAGCGAGCGCGTCCGGGGCGGCCTGGCCTACCGGGTCCCAGAGCGCGAGTTGCCGCTCACTCGTCCTGCTGAAGCCGGTGCTGAGCAGCTTCCCGTCTGCGGTGAAGACGGCCCGCAGCGGGCGGGCGCCCTCGTGAGGCCGGGCTCGCTCCTGCTCGCGGGGTTAGTGGGTTAGAGCGCCCGCGCTCGCCCCCGCCGCGCTCGCCGCGCGTGCTCCACGCACACATGCACGCGCCCCGCGCACCCCGCACTCCAGGTTAGATTGAGGCCGGTGAGGCAAGGGCGGCCTCCCTCCCTGCGCACCCGGCTGGAATAAGCAATGCTCGAGGGTTGCCCCCTTTCCCCGCCCAGCGGTCAACAAGGGCGAGAAGGGGCCAGCCCTCGAGCCAGTGTCAGGCCCCAGACCCTGGAAGATGGCGCTGGGTGCCGGCCGAGAGGGGTCCGGGAGCTCAGGTTTCATGCAGGTTCTGGTGGGAGGATGGAGTTTCCAGCTTCTCCCCTCCTCCATCCCAAAGCTGGAGCCCTTCTCTGAGCTTCTGAGATGCAAGGGAGGGAACAGGAGCAGGGCAGAGAATTGCAGGCTGGGGGCTTACTTAGGGCAAGAGCAGTGGTTGCAGAGACTGGGGGAGGGATCTAGGCTCTGGAGTAGGGATGGGACAGGTGAAAGCTGGGACCAGGGGCTCTGACAATTGTGGGTTCAGGGTGCTGACATCTGGTCACTGGGCAGGGGCTGCTGGGGAGTGGCCAGGCCAGGCACTCACCGCCACCACTTGGCTTTTTCGGGGGTCTATGATGCGCAAGGTCTTGTCTTTGCAGGTGGTGGCTAGCAGGCTACCGTTGCTGTTCCAGCAGACGCTGTGGATGACATCTGGGTGCATGTCGTCCAGGCTCAGCAGCACCTCCCCAGTGCCCACATTCCAGATGATGATCATATTGTCACCACCTGCCCGGAATAGCCAGGCATGGTCACCTGGGCCCTGTCTTTGCTGCCACCCCCATCTATGTGGGACCCCTCCCTAGGCCCCCAGACCTGCACTGAGTAGGACGTTCCTAGCAGTAGGGTGCCAGGAGAGGATGCCCACACGCTTGGAGTGGCCCTCGAGTGTGATGATGGGTTCCGTAATATTGCGCACAGGGGTATAGTCCGGAATCTGCCACACCTGGGTAGGAGGAACAGGCACAGGTGGGTGGGATGAGGAGCTGGCCCTGTCCTTCGGCTCCTCCCCTACCTCCCCTTAACTCTACTGGCTATCTTTAGTGGTAAGCGTCAAATACAGGGCAAGATGTGGTGGTGCATGCCTAGGGCAGAAGCCGCTGTGAACAAGGAGGGGGCACTACCAGCTCTCCAGAGATCTCCCCATTCATTCCAGCAGGGAGACTTCAGAGCACTGTCCCACTGCTCTTCAGGCCCCACTTTGGCCATGGCTATAATTAGCCCCATGCAGTGCATCCTGGGAGGGGGTGGGCATGCAGCTAAAAATAGCCTGGGAGCTGGGCAAAGCAGGGACCCAGGACCCAGTGCCTCCCTTACCACCTTCCCCAGCACAGGTGAGGCAGCCTTCCCTGCTCCCCTGCCCAAATGGCTCCTACCATGATGGTGGTGTCATCTGAGGCACTGGCGATGACGTTGTCATTGTGTGGGCACCAGTCAATATCCAGCACAGGGGCAGTGTGCCCGGTGACCAGTGGGTAGTTCTTATCCACTCGCCCTGTCTGGAGGGGTCAGAGAGGGAGGTGTGGGGCTGCTCTCCCACGTGTTGCTTTGGGGTGGCAGCAGTCTATTTACATCTCAATTCTCTATCATCTATTTTCTCTTTGCAGACCCCTCTCTGTGCCTCTACCCCCATCCAGTCCACTTCTTGCACTTTGCTGAAGGCAGACAGAGTTGTAATCCTTTCATATTAGGGAAGCTGACACAGAGAGGGAAGACGACTTAACTAAGGATATACAAAAAGATACTGGTAGAGCCTAGACTCAAACTCTCAGTCCAGTGCTCTTTCAAACACACCTACTTGGAGGAGGCTGTTCTTGAGCCCGCACCCCTAATTGGAATGTCTGTGGGAAGCCCTGGTGGAAGAGGTCGAGAGGAGGTAATAGTGCAGTGCTCAACAGTCCTTTCCTAGCCTCCCCTGTCAGTTCTCTCCCTTGTGAATCACCTTCACCTTGGAACCACCATCAGCAGGCAATCCTGGTACCTACTATCCCCAAACTGGAGCTGGGGACCCACCTATCTTCCATCTTTAGGGGCTGCTTGTGGGGGCTCTGAGGCCTCTGCAGGGGCTGGCATTAGTCCAGACCGGGCAGTAGGGGAGACGGATGGCCAAGTGGCATTGAAATGGCAGTCATACTGGGGGAGGAGGCAGCTCCAGCTGAAATTTGAGCCCTGGAGATGGAGTCCCTGGATGGTGTCTGCATTGTCTGGGGTGAGTCACAGGCTATTGTCAGGCCTCTTCTTGACCCTGCCACTGATGGGGCCTCCCTTAACAAGATGTAGGGGCCAGAATCCAGGTCAAGGTCATGTCTTAGGGTGGTCATTCTGGGTATGGAGATGGCCAAGGGCCTTGAGGTTACTCAGCAAAAGTGGCAGTCATTGCCTGGCCCCTATCCCTAGGGGATGGGGGGTTTTGGCCTTATGTGTCATGTCCCCCTTCTCTTCGCTCTCATTCCACCTCACTATAATAACCACAGTGGGAAGTAGAAAGGGACTCTGGATAGAGCCTGACCCTGTCTTCAGTGTGTTGCTCTGGGATGTGATTTAATCAAATGGTCACCATGGGCTAGGGGGAGGATCTCCACACCCAAAACATGAGGGGGAATGGCATTAGGAGGGACGGCAACAGAACCTGGCCAGGCTTTGGCTCTGCTACATCCCAACCATCTCCATCACCTGACTCCCTTCCTGGTTCCTGCTGGGAACAGGGTGGGGTATGGAGAGGTGGACAGGCTAGGTAGTGGGCATAGGCCAGGGTGCTGTTGCTTAGGGTGGGGTGAGGTAGCCTCCCCATCCATCCCTGAGGGCTCGGGGCACAGGGAGCAGCCAGTCCACACCATCTGCCCTCCTGACTGAAGAAAGGAACTAGGTGAGAATGCAGACTGCCATCAGGATTCCCCAGAGGCCCCTACCAGTGTCCTCCCATTTGGTTCCTTCCCCTCATCCCTCACCTTGGCCAGAGGCAGGACGATGAAGGAACCCCCACCTCCAGCCTCCACGATAATAGCCAGGAATTTGGGATTGACGGCACAGAAGGAGCTGTCCCACGTGACCTTGGACACACGGATGTCCTCATAGGCCTGGTCGGCCTTTGCCGCCTGCCCAAACACATGGCGGAACTTGCTCTGCCGAACCACACGCCTGCTCATGGCTGGGGGCAGAAATGCCTTTTGTCCTCAGTCCTGTGAGCTGTGGGAGGGATGAGGAGTGAAGGGTTGGCAGGTGAGAAGGGTTATCTGGTCAGGAGTCAGGTATACATCCATATAGAGTATGGTCCTAAAAGCAGGGAGCTTTCTTCAAGATGATCAAAGGATAAGAAAGTTCTTTGCTATTGTAAAATGCTGTTTAATGTGGGGGGCTGGGATTTGTGCCTGACTTCTTCATGCAGACCCAGGCTGGGGGGATAGTGGCACCTAACAGGGTCTGAAAGCTTCCTGGAAGTTAAGAATGTTTTGGGGAGGAGCCTCAATTCGAGGCTGCCCTCCTGCTGCCAGATTTGATGATCATCTCTTCGCGGAAGTGGCTGTATCTCCCAGAGGCACCCTGTCCACAATTAGAGGCATTGGCCATTGGATCTTAGCTCAAGACCAATTATGAAGCAAGGACTACGGCCCCCTCAAGATCCTTAACTTGCATCTCTGGCATAGCTCAGTAAGATGGGGTTTTGCTTTTGTCTAAAAATTTGCCAAGGGAGAAGTTCCTCCTGTCAGCTAAGCCAAGTCCTTTCCGCTACTATTTTCATCAATTTCCCCCATGGTGTTGAGGGGGCACAGTGTAAAGTGGATCTCTCCTCCTTCCACTCCTCTCTGCACTGGCTTCTCCCAGAGGCCCTAACTATGGTCTTCTGGCTTTTGCCAATCATACTCTGTTCGTCCGGTTTCTCCTCTGGATCCCCTGCCTCGGCTGGGCCCTCTTCCTACTTAACTCTCCTGGGTTTGGGGTCCCACACTCCCCCCGCCTCCAGCCCCACCCCGCTAGCCAGGGACAGATTTGCGAGGGTGGGGAGGGTGAGGTGCCTCTTCTCCAGCCAGGGCCTGCGCTATGCTCCTCTTCCCCAAGGTACACACCAAGCTCTCCCGAAGCCCCAGCCGCTGACTCCTGCCCCACCCCAGCCCCGGGCATCCGTGTGTCCTTCAAGCTGCGGCTGCGGCCACAGGCTTGAGGCCCGGCCTCCCCGCACCCTCCTCCAGCCTCCTGCCCTGGTACTGCGTTCTTGGAAGGCAAGGTGTCTGCGCCCTGCGGGCGCGCGGGCCGCTGTCCGGCCAAATATAGACAGCAAGTCCGCCCCGCCCGAGGCCGAATCCCGCGGGGGGGAGGGGGCGCAGACCTCTGCCCCCTCCAGGGACCCTGACTGCTCTGCTGGCTGCGGTAGCTGCCGGCTGGGGGCCGTACCTGGTCCTGAGGGCTGGAGGGACGCTCACGCTGCGACTCCTCTGCGGAGGGGGCCGAGGTGCGCCGAGGGCCGAGGAAGGCGTCGGGCGCTGGAACCGCCTCTCAGGGTGTCCGCGGCGTCTGGGGCCCGGGTGTTGGGCTCCGCGCTGCGGCCGCCGCCTGCGGCTCTCCGGGGCCGGGCGCCGCTGGCGTCCCAGCTGCCGCTGCCATCAACCTGAGGGGGCGGGGCCTGGGCCTGGGGCGGGGCCGGGGCCACAGCCGCCTCGCAGTCTCCCGCGGCGGGAAAGTCGAGCGCCCCCGACTCCGCGCCGAGCGTCCGTCAGCCTTGGAAAAGCGGCAAAAGTGAGCGGGCGTGTGTGTGCGGGCTGCGCACTCTCCCTCCCTATCCTCCGCGCCTCCGGGGTAGGCCGAGGAGACTCAGACTCCCAGACTCGGAGCACAGTGCTGAGAGAGGAAGCCGGCGAGGGGCCGCGCGCCCCTGGAGCAGGCAGCCTTCGAGATCAGGTGCTTTCGCGCCGCATTCCCGCTGCAATCGCGCTCCCAATTTAGCCTGTCCCGGCCGGTCGGGGTTGGACTGCACGTCCAGGCCCTCTTGCGGGAAAAGAGGCCCCAGAAGATGCTCCGGAGGAGTCGTATCAGCTATTGGATGAGGGCCTAGGATGGCCCAGGGCAACTGCCAAGGGTCCTCGACAAGGGGCTGTGAATGTTGTTATTGATATTGTTACTAATAGCGAACATTGGCACTGTGCTACGCATTTCATCCCGTTAGAGGGGATTCCATAGAGCAGGACAGGAAACAGCTTAAAGGCCAGGCAGGGGAGAAAAGTGAACCCACCTTGACCCCCCTGGGAACACCAGGTTCAGCGAGAAAAGACTGGCATAGGTCTTTGGACATATTTTAGGGGTCAGAGCACCCAGCTCAAAGGCCAGACTCCTAATGCCTTCTTGGCCTTGAGTTAGTGCCTGACTGTGCTCCCAGGACGCCTCTTCTCCTCCCACAATACCTACAGATCTGAATATTGACCAAGGTCAAGGAGAACATAGAAAGTAACCTGATCAAAATACAGCCAGTGAACAACCAGTCCCTTTATCTTCTGTCTACCCAGGGCCCGCACACTGCTTGGATTTCTTCCTTGGGAAGGCCCTGGAGGGCACGGTGGGGCCAGTTATTACTTCCCACTCTACATGGCAAACCTGAGAGTCAGTGGAACACAGTCTTCTGGAGGGCAGAGAGCAGCACTGGGGGGACAAGGGAGGGAAGGAGGTGGAAACCATGAGGGCCCCCACAAGGCTCCTTTGTTTCTCAGGAAGAGTCCATGTATTCAGTGGCTTGTAGGGGAGCAGAATCAGAAACTGTTACAGGTGCTCCAGAAATAATTCATGGTGGGGGTGGGGGGTGGGGCATGAGGGTGGATGAGTTTTCCTACCTAAAGATTCCAGGCACATGGTTGGTTAGGAGGATAAGACCTGAGTGACTCAGTTGCTCCTTTATAACAACAATATCTCACAATTCCTATGTGCTGGGCACTGTTGTAAGGACTTTGTACACATAATTTCGTTCTATTATAATAACAGTCTTCTGAGATGGGTACTGTTATTATCCCTATTTTAAAGTTGAGGAAACTGAGGCACAAAGAGGTTAAGTAACTTACCATCACTCAACTGGTAGTTGGAGCTGAGATTCTTACCCAAGTGGTCTGGCGTCTGAGTCCATGCTTTTCAGCACTGTGAATTTCTGCCTCTCCTTGAAGGGCAGTGTTACTTTATCTCACAAGCACTGAGATAAAGCATAACAGAGAGCTGTTACTGTGGCACAGAAGAAAGGATGCCTGGAATTAATTAGAAAACTTGTTCCATGCCCGGCTCAATCACCCTATTTTTGCAGCTCTCTGGGCTGTAAAATGAAGAGGACTGGGCCAGATTTCTTCCAACTCTGCACCACTTGTTGGCAGAGAAGTGTTACGACATGCTGCCTCCTATCTGACTTGACATCTTTCCTCCACTCCTCTGCCCTTTTCCCTCTTCTTTAAAGAGAGCAGGGGACTTCCTTCTAGAGGCAAGGATTTGTGACTAGGATACAGGAATCCTTCAATCGATCCTGCCTTCAGTTCCATCATCTGGGAAGGGGGATGCTCACTGGGTATAGGGATTCATGGGTATTTGCTTGGGCCTGGCACAGCTCAGCTCTCTTTCTATCCTTCTTCAGCTGCCAAGGCCTGGCAGAGCTGTGGGTGGGTAGAGCCAAGGCATGATGAACCAATCAGGAGAAGAAGCTACTTGGGCTTGGTGCCTCCTCTCTGAACTGCTAGCTCTGAACGCAATCCATAGAAGATAGGCACAGATTTCATCTATTTTTATTTATTTTTTGTAGAGATGGGGTCTCACTATTTGGCTCAGGCTGGTTTTGAACTCCTGGCCTTGAGCAGTCCTCCCGCCTCAGCTTCCCAAAGTGCTGGGATTACGGGTATGAACCACTGCACCAGGTGGCATGGATTTCATCTCTCACGGAGCCATTTTCTGGAAGAGGTAGCCTGGCACCATAACCATGATTTGGTTCATCTGCTTTCACTAGATAGCTAAGACTGAGCTTATTTAGATTGATCAGGAAGCCCAGGCACCCCTAGAATATTTAGTGAATGACCTTATCTTTACCATCATGCACCCGGCACTCCAGCTAGAGACCAGTGCTGTGCCCCACCCACTTGTTATGGATGATTCAGAATGAAGCAGGCTGACTTTAGTTTCTCTGCAAACTTCATCAAATTTTGTTAGCAGTTGGGAAACTGAGCTCTCCCCAGATGGTAGTGCTACCTTGTGTGTGATGAATAGCACCTCTAAATATCTCATGATGGCTCTGTGGAAAGGTGTGAAAAGTGGGTACACCCCAACCCATTTTAGAGGAATGTCCTTTGGCCCCATTTCCATTCTGCACCATTGACATCAAATGTTTCTTTTCTAATGATGGGAGAGGGTCAAAGCTTTTACTTTGGAAATTCATGTCCAATTTCTTTTTTTTTTTTGAGACAGAGTCTCACTCTGTTGCCCTGGCTAGAGTGAGTGCCGTGGCGTTAGCCTAGCTCACAGCAACCTCAAACTCCTGGGCTCAAGCGATCCTACTGCCTCAGCCTCCCGAGTAGCTGGGACAACAGGCATGTGCCACCATGCCCGGCTAATTTTTTTTTTCTACATATTTTTAGTTGTCCAGATAATTTCTATTTTTTTTTTTAGTAGAGACGGGGTCTCGCTCTTGCTCAGGCTGGTCTTGAACTCCTGAACTCAAACAATCCACCTGCCTCGGCCTCCCAGAGTGCTAGGATTACAGGTGTGAGCCACCGCGCCCGGCCTCATGTCCAATTTCTAGAAACTTTTCAGTGAGCTGAGGTGACCTATGCTGAAAGCTTGTTAGCTCTATCTCACTAATGTCCAGAGAGGTTGCCCACCCAAGAAATCCATTCCCTGTGGGGGCAGGTGACAGCAGCTGTCCCAGACCAGTCATTTTGCACCATAGATGGTGGAGGAATTTTGATTCCTTTGCTTATTCATTCTCCTAACATTCAGGTGGTGGCTTCGGCAAGTGCCTCCTTGGCCAGGCAAGTTCCCAGCTTGGTCACTTGATTGGAGCCACGCTGTCTGAAATAATTTTTATAGTAATTTTTAGTGATCCTATCTCCTATCCAGTCTTTTATTTTACAGAAGATGGAAAGTTATATTTTTCTCTAGAACTCAGCTATCTCTTCAGAGTGGCTTCAATGGGATCAGTCACTGAGAACTGCTCCCCGTTTGTTACCAGTGTTTTCTTCCAACCCCTCCACCTTCCCCAGCACCCCCTTGTTGCACCTGATGAAGTACACAGATTTCATCTTCAAAATAAAAATTTATTCAGTCTGTAACAAGAACATTGAATCTGCACGTTTGCGCACAAGTTCACATTTAAAAACAGTGGAGCACATCAGTAATAAAAAAATCTATGATACAAGTGGAATATCCCAACCACCAGGAAGATTAAGGAAGGAGATGAGACCACTCTTTATATTCTGCTTCAAATGCCTCAAAAAGGTCCCAGAGATTCCAGGGAGCACCTGCTTTATTTAATAAAATGTGAACATAAAAGTTTGGGGTGGTTTAGGGCAAAGGTAACAGTCAGAAGGAGAGTCTTCTGGACTTGTTTTCCATGTTTAGAACAAGTTGTACAAAATAGAAAGAAAAAAAGAAAAGGCACCTTTAGCTATGCCAAGCAAACCAAAATCCAACAAAACATAAAAACCAAACAATTCCCTGTGGGCTTATTGATTGGGAAACACTTCAGGGCATTACCCAGTTTTCAGTTTGGGTCATCAGCTCGTTAAGCCCTGGGTAATGGCTCTGCATGTGCATACACGATACTGCCACCAGCATCATTGTGAGGACACAGATGGCAGCACCAGTCATATACCTCTTGGGGGATCTTCAAGCTGATCAGGGATAATTCCAGTTTAGAAATCCTGTCCTAGATCTCCGGGGCATTGAGAAAATGAGGCTGGTTCTCTTTTCATAGCAGGAGCCAGGGCCAGTCACCCTCCACTTCCAGGCTGGAAAAGTACAGAAGCACCTTGCAATAGCTCTCCATGGCATCAAGGGACCCCAAACCCTAGGAGAAGGGTTAGGAGTGTGCAGCTTCCTGCTTTGGTGGCAGGCCTTTTCCTAATATGGGTGTTGGATGAGTTGAGACAGTAAATATGCTTATGTCTAATACATGCCTTGATCTTTTAGTTTGGAAGGGAAAATTAAGTCCAAGATGCTTTTAAGTTGGCTTGGTGCTGAAACAGCTAAAATTTCATGTTGTCTACCATCAAAAAGCAAAGCAAAATTAAAAAAAAATGACACTAGCCATTCACTATTACAACCATCACTGTAAGACACACCATCACTTAGGAAATGACGACTATTTCCGTAGAGTGTTGGATGGGAGTGCAGGACACAGATCGAAGTCAGCTCCAGGTTTTATCCACTGATCCACAAGGGCTGACCATTACGGCACTACTCTGAGTGAGGACTCACAGGACAGCTAGGGCCTGGAGGACTGAGTGGCTGACAAGATGCTGTACATTTTAATACTCACAATGTAAACAAAGTATCCACAAATTGTTGTCCAAAAAAAGCCAAAGAATGGCTTTATTTAAAAATTTTAAAATGCCCTTGGAAGTGACTTTCTGCATAATGCTTTCTTTAAAAACACACACACACACACACACACACACACAAAGAGATTCCCACAAAAACATTTTTACCAAACATGCCTAGATCACTTCAGAACTGAAATCCTCAGGTGAAACAGGTGAAGATTTCTGTGAGCTGCTACATCTTAGAAGCTTCTTACAGGAAGCTTCAGGTCTAACCAACAGCATCTGTCTAGGGCCCGTGAAGAGGAAGGGACTTCAGAGCCTGGGCTGTCATCCTTAGGCTGTCCTTGGACCTTCTGGTAGTTTGCAAAATGAGAAAGAGGAAATACCAGTTGGGATAAAGATACAGAGCCAGGAAAACAATAAAGAACCTGAAGAAGCTATGTCAGGAATTTTTAGAATCTGAAAGGCAACCAAAATGAGGAGAGATGAATGTTACTATATTGCAGTACTACATGTCTACTATAGTATACACTACTCTTAAATTTCCAAAAATCAACAAAGGGTTGGGGTTTCTCTCCTACTGACCAGGTAACCATCCAGATTCCAGCTCAAATCCTGTATGTTCTCGGAGCTTCTACCCCATGTACCAAAAAGTTAACTCTTTTTATGCATGAATGCCCTCTAGAATAACTGAGACACTATGGTGGTTTTCAAAAAAAAGAAATATAAAGAGAGAAACTGGGCAAGAGGTCAAGGTTTTTCCTACTTATCTCTGTCAATCTACCAAACTGCTGTTTCAGATCTGGGCTTTCCATGAACACAAAAGGGGACTTGGGCCACTGGAGAGTATCAAGAAGTTTAAAGAGAAGTCTGAAATATCCTTGACAGCTCATTGTGTACCTCCCCTGGATACTGCTCAGCCATATAAATAACACCCAATTCTGGGAGTTCGAGAGGGCTGGCAAAACTACCTGGCATGGCTGAATTATAGACCCTGTGAAGATGATGTTTATTTAGGTAGGTAGGTAAATTAAATAATAAAAAGTGTAATAAAAAAAAAAGGAAGGTGAAGCAAGACTTTCCTTCACTCTTTAAAAAAATATATTTTTAAAAAACTTTCACAGCGTAAGTGCGTTTCCTCTGATCTTTGTTGTTATTTAATGCAGTGAATGAGCATTAAACGCAGTGGTGGGGGGAAAAGGGGACAATGCAAGGGGTTACCGTGAGTGGATGCCAATTTCTGAATGTCCATGCACATCCTCCTCTCCCCACTCCCACCACAATTTCCTCTCCTTTTCCCGCCATATTGGTGGCAGTGCCTCAACAAGGCAGAGCGGTTTAGATGGATGAGTCCTGGAAATTCATATCCCTGTTTCACAAGCCTCCTCACCCTGGTTCATACCACCTAGCAAAACACGTTACAACACAAAACATCCAGGAATCACGAAACTGTGTGGATGATACATTTAAACATTTAAGGAAACCACTGAGCAACAGCACAGGTACACACAATTACTATACCACAAAGACACTTTTAGCAGGTAGTTTCTGTCCAACCTGCCTCCTGGCAGTGACGTCAGACCAGCCATGGCTTCCACACGGCAAGTGGATTCACAGCTCCTCCTGAGCACCTGCGAATGGCCCCAGTTCACCTTTTCTATATCTTTTGGGTCACCTTACTACCTGCCTCCACCAAACTCTAGCATCTGACATCACCTTGACAGTCTGTGCATCTGTCTTTTCCTCTCAGTGCTGTGATGAACGAAAAACTTAGTCTCAAGCCTGTACTCAGTCAATGCTCAGTGATGTGGACATCAACCAAAGCAAACAGGAAGCACATCTGCAAACCTCTTCAGTTTTAATGAGCTGCAGAGGTGTTTCATTCCAGGCTAAATATGTTTTCTGTAAGAAACTAAAAGAGGCTCGTTATGGCAGGTGCTCCTGTGTTAAGGATCTCCATAACAGCAACAAAACAACAGCATCCTAAATGGAGTCATTACAGGCACTTGCCCTTGGTCGAGGCCTCCAAAAGGAGGTTCCACTCTGGGAAACTCATTTACACTTCCTGGCTGTGGTTTAGCTACTAGAAAACAATGTTCTGGGATTTCAGTCTCAAAAAGAAATAAGCCTTCAGTCACACTGTGACCTATGGGAGCCTTTAGGGGTTCCTCTGAGGAAGAAGTTACTAACTGCATAATTTGGCAGGAGCTGATGATTACAAGTCTCCATTTAAACAATTAAATGTACAGATTCCTATCAACATCCATCAGTTTTATTTCTGGTGTCTTTGTGTGTTTTCCAGTTGCAACTCTACTCCTTCTTAAAAAGAATAAATCAAAAGACCCTACAACATCAACCACAAAACACTGTAAGAAAGTGAGTGACATTATGTACATAAATACTGTGTATAAACTTTAGAGAAATGACAAACCTTCCAGGAAAAGAAAGGAAACAAAAACTTAAGTGTTAACAATGATAACAAAGAAAATGTTGCATTCAATGGAGGTTATACACATGTAACAATTCAAATATAATCTATCAAATAAAAAAAAAGGCAGCACAGGGAAAGAGCATGGGGAAGGAAAAACAAATGTGGCCATTAAACTCAGAGGGCCCACAGAATTATTCAAGTAATGGAAGGGTTAAAACCCTACATATGTATTCATTTTACAAGAACACATTGACTTTTGATTGCTGCTTTTCAAACTTGTCACTATTGTGTTTTAGTTGGGAGGACACTGCAGAGCATGTTTTCTGGCAGGAAGGGTCAGGGTCACCACCTGTGTGGATGCCATCACCCAGCAGTTACTGGGCAGTGGGCTCTACACCCCCAACTCACGTCTTCATCCTCTCATGCTTTCCTCTACAGAAGACCATTCAGATTTCATTTGGGGTTCTTTTAAATTTAATTTCAAAAATTATTTTCTTGGGGGAAAAACTATTTAATAAATTTACAAAGCCAGCCATTATCATGCCTTTCTGTATTGATACACTCTGGAATACCAGAAGAAATGGATTCTGGAAGACCCCCTTTTAAAGCAAAGCAGAACCTGCCTCCTTTAGGAACTCCGAAGGGCAGTGGCTGGGAGCCCTCTGACTTCTGGCTGCCCTTCAGCCCATCTGATGCCTCAGGTCTGGAAACCAAACCATCATCACAAAGACCCAGGGGAGCGTTTCCAATTCCCAGCTTCATCTCCACCCTCTCCATCTGCTTCCTTCCTTCAATCAAGCAACCATGCTTTTTCTCACAGGGCAAAATGAGGAGCAGGTGGCAGCTGATTGAAAAACAGCAATTTGCCTTTGATACAGGTGTTCTTTGAAAATGAGGGTTTGAGGTTTGAATTTTTTTTTAAATAAAAAACGATAAAATGGTCTTGCCATCCAAATCAATCTCTCCTCACATATAACACACACACACACACTGAAAACCCAAACCCTGCATGCGCTAGAAACAGTAAAATGACCAAAATATTATAAAATTAACCAATAAAGTGCATGTTCTTTACATATTACACCTGCCCCTTTTACAAACATTTCTTTTAGAAAGTCACATGTGTAGGCTCAGAATCACATGGTATTATAGAAGGGGTTGGTTGTCCGTTTTTTATTGTTTGCTGTTTTCAGTCTCCTAAGGGGGTGAGTTCTGCCGTGTTGCTGACGGGGTGCCACAGCCAGCCCTGGGGCTGGGCCTGCACACTGCAGTCCCTGGGTCTGCAACAAAGGAAGGCCTCCTTCAGAACTAGTCAATTCAGGTCCTGCCCTGGGGAGCAAACACTGCTGACTGGAACCAAATTCTTTGGCATACTGCACAAGGGGCCTCTCCACTGGCTTGCTCTGCACAATACACTCTGTTGCTTTGAATTGTTCTACAAAATACTTGGTGGGCTCTGGGTTCTGGGGGGCACCTGGGTTTTCAGGGGGCTCTTGGGCCTCCATGGTGTGCATGCCTGAGTCTGTTCTGAGGAAGGGCTGAAGCTGTTTGAGATGAGGGCATTCAGAGGAGATAGGCTCCCTCTCTGGTAAACAGTCTTTACAGAGGTCCAAGTAACCTAACTTGGCGAGAGATGCTGAGCGCCTCATTTGGGATGGTTTGCTGAGCTCTGCCTGGAAAATCGCTCGGGACTCGATTTCTTTAGCGCGCTCCTTCACCACACCAGGGCTGTGGCTGAGACCCTTTATATTTTTACTGCTAGAACTATGTGGGAGTCGACAAGCTACAGATGAGGGGTCCAGTTTTCCCTGTAACTCCCCAGTGTTGTCACCTAGTTTGCTAATTAAACTTAGGTCTCTGCTAGTTAACTGGGAGCCCTTGTGTGGCACTTCATTGCCACTAGAGAGGGGGCCCTCCTGACTTTCTTCCCAGCTAACCTGCTCTGTAGAGGGCTCGTCTGTGGTGCTGCTTTGCTCTGTGAAGCCTTCCAGGTGAACCACAGTCTGGGGATGCAGGTAATCCAAGTTGGCAAACGGTACACGGGTTGTGTGACTGATAAAAGGTACTGTGGTCTCCAGGGCTGTTGATGGGCTGTCGCCTCTGTCTTCAGGGCTGCTCGGCGTGGAGGTTGGGTGGTCAGTGGGCCTGTTGTGCTCAGGAGAGGAAGAATGAGGCAGAGGTAGCATGTGGGGATGCATAGAAATCTGGTCAGGGTCCAGAGTCCTGTTTAGATTTTCGTCCAGTGCACAGAGCACAGTGATGGACTTCTCCACTTTCACCTTCCTCAGTCCTTGCTCTTCACTCTTTTCACTGGTGGTGATTTCACCCCCTGGCCCAGTGTGATCGGGTGATGTAACTGTGTGGGTATACTCAATGATTTCTATCCTCTTGGGAAGGGGAAGAGGGACTACCTGTGGCTCAGATTCCTGGTGTGAAACCCCAGTGCTCTGATCCTTCAGGACTCCTTCCTGCTTTGTTCTAGTATCTGACCCTGGGCACTCCTGAGGAGCTGGCACTGGGTGAAACTCTAGCAGCTCGGGTACTGGAATAGTGGCATTCTGCTCAGAATGGGATAGTGAACCAGTTTCAAACCCACTGTACTTCTCTTTGCCCTTGCTCATCTCTGGTTCCTTGGGGACAAATGAATGTTCTGGGGTGGCTTCATCACTTCTCCCTTTTGGTGCTAGGTCTGCCACAGAAGACTCATTCTTGGAATTCTTGCGCATGGACAATGAGGTACCTGTGGGGGCAGCACCATGGTGCTCTTGCTCCTGCCGTAAGCGCTCTTCGAACTCCAAGGTGGCTCGCCTCACAGACCCAGGGCACCACTTGGCACCCGGGTGCATCCCTGGGCCCTGGAGCTCTTGTTCTTCCTCAGATGGTTCCTCTTCTTCCAGGTCTGCTATGAGTAAGTGTGTGGTTAGGTAGCCTTCTGGGTCACACTTCCCTGAGTCTTTGGCTAGTTCAGGCTGGGCTGTACAGGAGCCCTCGTCCTGTTCCAGATGTCCAGGTTTGTTCTCTGGCACCTGGGTCCTCTCAAGGGGCAGCTCATAGATGGTGTTCTTCTTTGGTGTGTGGCATGGGTTGGATAAAATGTCTTTAGGCTGAATCTGTCCAACTCCTTGACTGATGGACTCAATTTCAGTGACGATTTCTTTGACTGAAATTGCATTTTCTGAGTGAGACTGCATGAAAATGTCTGGGCTGACCAGTTCTGAGATTGCCTAAGAAAAGAAAGTAGTGAGATAATTATGGTGAATTATAGTCTAATTGAAAATGCTGAATTTTCTGCTTGTCAATCCTCTGATCCAGGAGAACCTATCTGGCTATGAGAATATAAATCATGAAGTGCCCAGGACCATACTTTGCTCATCTGCTTTGTCAGACAATAGGAAAAAACCAAAAAACAAAAAACTACTCATCATGGCCAGAGATATAAAATTCATTATAGGTTTTGCCACTGTCCAACTAAACTTTCTCTTCTGTCTACTCAAGCGGAATTCCAATCCAATACTTTGTTCCAGTATTGATTATGGACAGCAAATAGCTTTGGAAGCTCTTAGAGTGAATAGCAAATAGCTTTGGAAGCTCTTAGAATCCATATTTTCCTAAGACTATGAGCTCCAGGATTCAGGCCATACTGGGATAAATGAAACTTTCCCCCTCTGGCCTATCAACTTCCAGCTTGGCCCTAACCTATTCACGGGGAAGAGTGCCATTCAAAGGCTAAGTGGCCACACTAGACATGCCCAGTGTTAGGGCAAGATGGATAAGGCTATCATCTGATGTCCGATTTGGAGACTCACTGTTCTCTTCTCTCCTCTGTCTTGCTAGCTTTCATCCACACCCTCCCACTGCTTCTCCTAGCAGCAGCATCCTAGCACATAAGAGCAGGAAGAATATACTCTGACTGCACAACCCCTAAGTTTCACATGGCTCATTCTGAGAAAGGTTCACTTGGCTTATGCAGCCATGTGTCTCAGAAAACTTAGAAACCATGACTCTCTGACATTTTTCTGTTTTACCAGTTAACAAATTCCCAGATGGATTTAGAACAAGGCCATAGAAAACTGACCAATACAAAATCAGGTCCTACTGTAAATAAATAAGAATTTCAAAATCTGGAAATAGCGCTTGGACACCTCTTAAAGTAGTATCTTTATAGCTATCAATCTACTTTGTTAAGATTTTTATAAGCTTTCAAAGGACAATATTTCCCTAGGGATTGTTCTGGTATTTCTCCCTCAAAAGAGAGTCAGAGTTAGTACTAATTAATAAGGTTAGTAATTCCTGTGTGGAAATCTGCCACACATTGGGCAGAGGCAAACTTGCCAAGACTGGGAGAGAAGCCACAGCAGGCCAGTGTGTGCATGGGCCACGGATGGAGCGTTCATATGACCAACGTCTTTGCAGAAAGGCTATTTCTGTCAGTGCTGCAACACTCACTGGTCCAAAGGAGAGCTCAAGCATTCTGACTTCCCAGGAGAAAGGACAAAGAGGCATAGCCTTTCGGGAGGGAAGATGACAGAAGCAAAGGCAAGAATTGCCCTGGGATAGTTAAGGAGAGAGAGAACAGAAGAGTAATGGATAAGGTGGGTAAGTATAAGTAGACAGAGATGTCAAGAATCTAGTTAGCTCCACTAAATTCATTAAGTGAAGTTTGGTATGTTAGAGTGTGTCACCATTTATTCCCCAACTACTGTATTATATTGATCTAAGGCACCATTGTTTATAAGATGCATCCCAATATCAGAGTTGTCAAAATGAGAGTAAGTGTGAGTCTTAGAATTGATGATATATAGTAATTCTTTCCCTGCTCTGAGATGGCTTGTAAGAACTCATATGCGCCTAAGAAGAATCTTAGGATTCTGTCTGCTCTCAAATTCATTTCCCCTTGATTCTTGAGTACCACAGGGTCAGAGATGATGAATTCAGAAATATTACTAATATCAAGAACTTAGCAGGGGAATCAGCTGCTATTCTGACAACTATTTACACATGTCTAATCTTTGACTTTTCTGAGACAAAAAAATTTCCCAAACAAATCGATCTTCTCAGAGAGACACAGGTCTCACTCAGGTAGCATCTAAATCCATTATTGGTAAGATGTGATCTAAACTGCAGAGGTCCAGGGAGGGAACCTCTTCTTGTTCAGCCAGGACATTTGTTTTGGCGAATCCCTTCCTCTGTCATCTTCTCTCAGAAGTGCTTTCAATGACATCAAAAGCCTGGAAAGACAAATTCCTCAAAAGGCAACTCACTGAAAAAATATTTAAGCCCTACATTTTCAAGGAAAATTTCAGCCAGATTGTCTCTCCCATATTACCTTCCTAAATCTTTAGTAATATCAAAAATAAAGTGAATATAACAGAATCCCAAATATTTTGTCTTTGAAGAGAAATTCATTAGATGGAGAACTACAAAGATAGTTTTTACCTTTGACTGTTCCTCATCCATTGAAGATTCTTCAGATGCATGGGGAGTATTACTCAAAGAGCTGCTCCTCTGGTCATCAGCTGTCACTTTGGAAGGGGCTCCTTCTACCACTGAGAGTCGACAGCTCTCACTCTTTCCTCCACCCAGTTCCTCCATCCTTGAGTGGGAAAAGGATCGGGACCGGGGGGTTTCTTGGGAGAGCTCTACAAACTTCTCTAGGGCGCTGAAAAAGTCAATGCGATCTGTACTGAAATCTGAGATTTCAGCCTGGCAACTGGGTTGGGGGCTTGGTGACTCAGGATCAGGGGACATGGGGAGGTCTTTCAGTTGAGATGTCAATTCTTCCATAGGCAGTAAGTGGACGTTCATGTCTGCTTTCAGTGCGTCCGTCTCCAGATCTTCCACTGTTAAGTCTGGGAACTTGTTGGCCATTTCTGGGGCATGTCCAGGTTGGATTAAGGCTTTGGATGTGTGGCAGTTGTCAAGAGGGAATTTTGATTCATTCAGACAACACCCTGACGAGCATCCATTGATGTCATTTAAGTTTAATTCATCCTCAATCTGTCCAGCATGAAATTCCCTAGAAGTAAACTCCAAGCAGATCATTCTTTCTTTGGTACACAGGCCTTTCTGATTTGCATCTTGTGGGACCACATGCTCCACGAAGACAGGAGGTATGGGTGGGTGACTCTCTGTGGTCTTTACCTCAGCAATCTGGTCTGCTGAGGTGGTGATCTCCTTCTTGTTGAGCTCTAGCCCAGGTTTGCTGATGGGTTCATGGTGGTCTGAGAGGTCGCTATCTGAATGAGATCTCCACAGTTTGTTATGCCGCTGTTTGCTGTGGAGGACATACACAGGAAACACCTTAACCTGGTTTGTGAAAACAATCAACACCCTCCCAGAAAACTGCTCCCATATAAACTTTAATCTTAACTTGCAAAATGCTTTGTTACTGCTCGATGGAACTTGGGAATAAACATTTGAAAAGACACTCAATTTAATGGCAAAAAACAAAGCAAAACAACAAGAACAAATGAATATGAGATCTGATTTTTTTTTTTAATCTATCAGACACACAGGAACTAAAATAGTTGGTAGCAGCCAGTGTTGATGATGGTATGGCCAAACAAGCTCTCACACACTGCTGGTAGGAAGTGTGAATTATAGAATGAATTTATTTATTACTATTATTTTTTTAAGAGGCAGGGTCTTGCTATGTTGCCCAGGCTACAGTGCAGTGGCTATTCACAGGCACAATCACAGTGCAATAGCAACCTCAAAATCCAGGGTTCAAGTGATCCTCTAGCCTCAGTCTCCTGAGTCGCTGGGATGAACTGTAGAATTTTAAAAATTGAATCTGTTGTCTACGGCCATACCACCCTGAACACGCCCGATTCTTGTCTGATCTCAGGAATCTGTCACTAGCTCTCCAAATTTAACCCTTTAACCAGCAATTCTTCCTTAATGAATTTTTCTTGGAGAAATACAAGGGCACAAAGATATATATATAAATATAGATAATTTACTATAACACTGTGATAATAAAAAATAAGACGCCAAAAAACACAAAAAGGATTTATTTAAATTATAGTCCATACAACCATATGTTATGAGGCTGTTAAAAACTGTCAGGTATATTAATGGAATGATGTCCAAGGTATACTATTAAGTGAAAAAGCATGTTGAATGCGTTTGGAATGGACAGTTTCCATGTTAGAAAAATGTAGGAAAAAATCTGGAGGAACATCGCCAAACTGGTAATGTTAATTCTTTTAAAAAAGGTAGAAAAACTTCTGGGGAGGGCTTTTACTTTCTATATTCTGTATTTCCATAATTTTTTTTTTTATTTGTTTTGAGACAGAGTCTCGCTCTGTTGCCCGGGCTACAGTGCTGTGGCTTCAGCCTAGCTCACAGCAACCTCAAACTCCTGGGCTCAAGCAATCCTTCTGCCTCAGCCTCCTGAGTAGCTGGGACTACAGGCATGTGCCACCATGCCCGGCTAATTTTTTTTTTTTTATACATATGTTTTTAGTTGTCCAGCTAATTTCTTTCTATTTTTTTAGTAGAGATGGGGTCTCGCTCTTGTGCAGGCTGGCTCGAACTCCTGAGCTCAGAACGATCCGCCCGCCTCGGCCTCCCAGAGTGCTAGGATTACAGGCGTGAACCACCACACCCGGCCTGTATTTCCATAATTTCTGAATTAAAAAATGAGCACATTTAACAATTATAACCAGGCCGGGTACGGTGGCTCATGCCTGTAATCCTAGCACTCTGGGAGGCCGAGGCGGGCGGATCGTTCTGAGCTCAGGAGTTCGAGATCAGCCTGAGCAAGGGGGAGACCCTGTCTCTACTAAAAATAGAAAGAAATTGGCCAAACAACTAAAAATAGAAAGAAAAAAAAAATTAGCCAGGCATGGTGGCGTGTGCCTGTAGTCCCAGCTACCTGGGAGGCTGAGGCAGGAGGATCGCTTGAGCCCAGGAGTTTGAGGTTGCAGTGAGCTAGGCTGACGCCATGGCACTCGCCCCAGGCAAGAGAGTGAGACTCTGTCTCAAAAAAAAAAAAAAAATTAGCCAGGCATGGTGATATGCACATGTAGTCCCAGCTACTTGGGAGCTGAGGCAGAAGGATTGCTTGAGCCCAGGAATTCAAGGTTACAGTAAGATATGAGTGGGCCACGGCACTCCAGCCTGGGTGACAGAGCGAGACCTTGGCTCTAGGAGGGGGGAAAAAAAAAAACACACACAAAAAAGTACGAGTAATACAAAGGGAAATAGTTGATTGGGCCTATTATTGGAGCCTATTACACCAACTCCTCATGATTGGAATGAAGAGCTGATGTAGGATTAATGAGTGACATGGGGGTGTGAGGAGAATGGTGATCATTCTTGAATTGGAAAGCAAAGATGGGGATAGTGAATCTAGAGAGAAAGCTCAGTAACAGGACAAATAGGCTGAGCATAAAAGATAGGCCCTCTTCAGAAGGATCTTTGGATAAAAACCATCAAGCTAAGGAGACACCTGGAAAAGCAGGTAGGCCAAGGAAGACCGCGCGCGCACACACACACACCCCCACCCATCCTTTGGTTTATTTCACGGAGAGAAGGTCTGGGGTAGGGATGAGATTTCATTTCAAGCCACACACTCTAAAAAGGAAGTTACATTGCCAAAGCCTCAGCCAAAAGAAATATGGCCCTGTGGTTAGTCAGGATCACCTACCCAGAGAACAGGTCACTAAGTGTGGTGCTTGGGGTGCAGTCTCCATGACTTACCAGCTGATGAAGAGTTACCTAACTGCAGAGTGGAATGGGAAACTCAGCCCAAAACAACTTGCCCTGGGCTCAGGGCCACGCCTGGGCTCTGCTGAGTCATGAGCCTGTACTAATGTGACCCTCTGTTTGTTCTCACTCTGCACCTGTTCTTAGCTCCCCTTGCCTGTCTGTCGCTTGGGTGGGGCTCTGACTCAGGCCTGCGAAGGGTGCTCTTCAGAGTAGGAAGCAGGTCAATCTGTTTATGAAGACAAGCTGTAATCAATTAGCTGGGTGTAAGATGGGATTTTCATCCTTTCCTAGCTGCATGAACTACAGCCACCCCTAGGAGGAGACAACATATCACACATCTCAAACAAGTGAGTGGCTGTGGGGAGGGGCAAGCTGACTTCTTGGATAGGTGGGGCTTAAATTGTACACTATGAACAACTGAGGACAATGTGATTTCTTTTAAAGTTTCTTCTCTTATATCCAGGTACCCCTGTTTCCTGACCTAAATTTGACTGTATTCTCCAATTTCTATTCCTTACCTATCATGAGGATGTTCAAACCTGCACCAACTCCTCTTACCCACCGTAGTAGGACAATTGCCTGGGATGCAAATTATTGGGAAGACACCTCAAGGGTAGCCGTTCTCATTTTTCTAATAACAGAACAACCTACCGGTCAACAGGTAAATGAGAAGTTTTTATGATCCCAAGAATCCTCCAAAATATTTTTTTTAATTTCACTATTTAATTTTTTTTAGAGACAGGTCTTATCACGTTGCCCAGGTTAGCCTTGAAGTCCTGGGCTCAAGCAATCTTCCTGTCTCAGCCTCCTGAGTAGCTAAGACTACACGCATGCACTGCTGCACCCGGCTCAAAACATGTTTTTTTAAACTTCCTGTGAATCACTCATCAGTCAGGAGGGAATGAGACTGAAATTATGCTAATAGGCACAAACAGTGTATGTTTCAGAGGAAGTGGCTGACATCACAGCTGTGCTGCCCAGCAAGGATTTCCTTTTCTTCCTGGGGGAGATAATCATCAGAAAATATTGTGTCGGGGCTTTGGAACTAAACTGACACCTACTTGTAAAGTAAAAAGAAACATCCAAATCTAAAGATAGGCCTGATGCGATTGCCCTTTTCATTTTTGCAACAGAGCTGCACGGAGAATGGTAAGCAACTCTCTCATACAGCCCAGATATTCATCACCATTACCTTTGAATGTGCCCTTCCATGTGCCCCTTCCTGATGCCCTCCCTCCTGCACCTCCATCTTGAATTTTGTGGTTATCATTCCTTCTCTTTTCTTTATAGTGTCACCACATGTTTTGTTCTTATAATATATTGCTTAGTTTTGCATGTTTTGAACTTTATATACATGAAATCATACCAAATGTATTCTTCTACAACTGATTTTTTGCCTAACATGTTTCTATAATTAATTACTGTGTATAAATGGAATTCATAGAGTGTAATGAATATGCCACATTTATCCATTCTGTTGATTAACAGTTTTGGCTATTACAGACAACACTGCCATGGACATTTTTGTGCCTGGTACACATCTAAGTTTCTCAAGGGTGTTATATATAGGAGTGGAAAAGGTGGGTCATAGGGTATGTCTGCATCATCAGTTTTATTTGGTAACACTAAACTGTTTTCCAGTGAAGCTTTGTCCCGAGCCAGTTTGTTCTAATGCTCCATCACTAGTAGGGATAGATGTAATAAGACATTAGATCATATCTATTATTTTAAACTGTTAACTTTTAAATCCAGCTAACTCTCCCCACCTATTCTAGGCAGGCAGCAAGTAAACAAGTTGCCAAAACAGAACTTCAGAGTTGGTCCACAGCCTGGATGATGTAACCAAGTCTCAGATCTCTCTTCCCCTTGAGTGGCCTCTGACTTGAATTTGGATTCGTATAAACACACAGACATACATATGATAACTGGGCATTCTGGGCAAGAATTTGGCCTTTTACTTAGTAAATGATCAGGAAGGAAATTTATTACTTACTTACTTACTTATTTATTTATTTATTTTTAAGACAAAGTCTTCCTCTGTCACCCAGGCTGGAGAGCAGTGGTGCAATGATAGCTCACTGCGGCCTTGAACTCCTAAGTTCAAGCAATCCTCCCACCTCAGCTTCCTGAGTAGCTGGGACTATGGGCACACGCCACCCTAACTGGCTAAGAAGGAAATTTAAATGACAGCATACATAAGGCTTGTCTCCACTCTCTTTCTTATTGTTATATGTTTGGTAAAGTATCAACTCTGTTTGAGAAAGTTACATAGACAAAAATACTGCTAAAAATGGAGTATTTGTGCCTGTAGTCCCAGCTCTTGGGAGGCTGAGGTAAGAGCATTGCTTGAGCCCTCAAGTTTGAAGATGTAGTGTGCTATGATCATGCCTGTGAATAGAAACTGTATTCCAGCCAGAGCAACATAGCAAGATCCCATCTCTCAAAAAAAAGAGAGTACCAGTAAAATCAGACTGTTTATAGTTACTTTTTAGCATATTAGGCAGCCTGTAGAAAGAAAAAAAGCATTAATTATTTTCTGTGTGCTATGCACAGTTTTAGATACTTTCAGATTATGTAACTGAAAATCTATTAAGAAAATCTTTTTAGGCCAGGCATGGTGGCTCACGCCTGTAATCCTAGCACTCTCCAGGCGGGAGGATCACTTGAGGTCAGGAGTTTGAGACCAGCCTGAGCAAGAGTGAGACCCCTGTCTCTATCAAAAAATAGAAAAAAATTCGCTGGGCGTGGTGGCATGTGCCTCCCAGCTACTTGGGAGGCTGAGGTGGGAGGATCACTTCGGCCTGGGAGTTTGAGGTTGCAGTGATTATGATGATGCCATGGCACTCTACCCAGGGCAACAGAGAGAGAGACCCGGTATCAAAAAAAAAAAAAGTTTAAATCTCAATTGCGCTTGGCTTTCACCTAAAGAGGTATCCATGTCTTTGTCCTTTCATTCTCACGTTCCCTGCTGTTGGCTGACCACTGTGCACCAACAAAGCTAGGGTAAAAGACAACCCTCTCTTCTCTGGCTGTTGTGACAGAGGCGTTCAAAGAATCAAAACTGACATTTCTGAGGACACGGTGGCACAAACTCTCCCTGGCCACCACCCAGTTTTTCTTTCTTGCCCCCATACACTGAAACCTAATACCACAGACACATGGTCCAGCTTGCAAATGGTCTGCCTGAAATCTGAACCTGTGTAATGGAACATAAATCTGCCAGATACCTGCATGATCAGAGTGCAGAATAACAAACAGGGCCACTGGCAGTTTAATAGAGTTTCAAAGTGAGCACACGTGAGCTCACATACACATCCCCCTGTCCCCCGTTTTGCTCCTGTCCTCCAACTATAAAAATAAAAGAAATAAAATCAGATATGAATAGTATCAGTAGCTTTATTACCCTTTTTAGGTCTAAAGGTGAATATTAAACATTAGCCTTCACCAGGCTCTTAATAATACACTGAAAGAGGCAAAAAGTCTCTTGTATTTCAGAGGGGCTGTCACTGCTTGGCCCATACCCTCATATTCTGATTAAGACTGTAATCAATTCATAAATCACTACATGAATCTGGCGTCACTTTGGTAAACTTCTCTTCTACTAAGAGATCAGAACACTAAACTAATGCCCTCAAACAGAGAGCTGCCACCTCAAGTTAAGCACCCACTGTCACCCTAGATAACCATGGAGCTAGAGGATGCTAGGATCAGGACTCTACCTCTTTGAGAAAACTACCACATGCCTCCTGGAAGACATGAAATATAAGGTCCAAACATTTGGACAGGAAGTAGAACTTCTCTGCAAACAGCACTAGTGGGATTTTTCGAAGAATTTTTCTCTCCTGCCTACCTAAACTACAAGGCTTGATAGAGCTTCAGATAGTCATAGGAGTCTGGTGATTCTCTTTCTTTGCTCTTCTAAGCAGGCAGATCCTGGAGCTGCACTTTGGGGCTGGGCAAGAGTCTGCTGGGTCCAATTCACTTGGCAGTTAGTCTACAAGTGCCGAGGTTTCTGAACAATACATCATAGATTGCAGACCCTAATGGCTGTATACCCAACCAGCCATTTTTCTTATTATCAACCACCTGATTTGGTTTGGGTGTTCACTATCCCATGGGTTCAGGAAATGTGGCACTTCCTAGCTCCAGAGGATAAATACAAATATGTTTTAGCCAGTCCTGGAAATTCTATTTTCTTGGCCAGTGGTTGGTTTTAACCATATGACCCAGACCTGGCGAATGGGTCCTGAGGGGCAGTCTATGGGGAGCTTCTGGGAAAGGTTGTCCTCTTGAACTTAAATGACCCTTTTCTTCAGCCAGATGCTGTGCAGTTTACACGCAGATGCCCAGAAATATGGCAGACATCTGGCAATCGTAAGACAACCTCAAGGGCCAAGCCATTAACTACGGAAGGCAGAACAGAAAGAGGGATAGCACGAGTCCTTGATTACATCACCACTGAGCCATTATAGAGACTACTTCTGTGCTGCTTGTTACAGGAAATGATAAATGGTCTAACTCTTTAAACTAATTGTAGCTGAGTACCAGGCCAGATACCTTCTATTTGCCCCTGCAGGTCTACTCTTCAGCTTTTCCACCCTGTTCTCCTCCACAGATGCTGATCTTTGGATTACAACAAAAGGCCCCCTTGTTTTCTGACTTTCACAGGATTTGGCTAATGGGGAGGCCTGGAAGGAGACTGAAGGGAGGAGAGTGAGGGCAGGGTAATTACTTCCCTAGCTCCTTCCCTGCAGGGCCACCTCAGGCTAGCTGTGTCCCTTTGACAGAAGGTTATTGCTTGTCTCTGAAAGGCCTTTGTCTAACAGGAGTCTCCTTCTAAGTTCTAGGAACTGCTTAGGAGCTATCACCTAACAGCCCTGCTGACACAAGTCTCTTGATTCACCTATGGTGCCACACCTTTGTAAATAGTTCTTTTATAAAACTCTCCTCAATAATCTTAATCTGAGTGTGCTGTTTCTTGTTGAGATCCTGACTGATGGAGGTATTCTATTACTTGCAGCCAAAAGCAGCCTAAGTGATATCCCTGGCATTAGATTCTAGTACTTAAAATCCAGGAAACATCTCCATAAAAGAAATTCCAGGAACACATCCTATTGCAGTTTCTAATGGAGTTAGTGTGTGAATGGTGGGAGGCATCAGTTGATGTTAGGAGGAAGAAATCAATGGCACATACATATGTGTTTTCTGGGTAGGCTTAGAGGAATGAGATGATGAGAATCATATCTGAACAACCCTCAACAACACATAATGAACATTTATATACATCCTTATTCACAATAACCCTGTGAGGTAGATCTCTTGATTTTCATTTTATAGATGGGGTCAGGTGAGGATCAGAAATGTGAAGTAACTTCTCAAGGTTGCAGCAAGGGGGTGAACCAGGAGTGGAAACCAGATCTACTGACTCAAATTCTGTGGTTTTCTTCTCCCCAGGGCTTGACCCTCCCTCTATGAATCAAGCCCAGGAAGTCGGGGCGGAACACAAAAAGAAAGGGAAAAAGAAGAGGAAGGGTCATTTTTGGGTTTATGCTACCCTTTCTTATCCTCATCTAAGATTTTTCTGAAATTTCTTTAACATCTAAGAAAAACCACATACACTAAAAAAACCCAATCCAACAGCTTGCAGTAGCCTGGGATTCCAGAATAAATACTGAAATTGGCAGGACACATAGTATCCTTCCTCTCGATGGGTCACGTGAGGACATTGCCTAACATCCGTTGTGTGTGTCTGGGAATATATAATATTTATGTGTCAACAAACCTTTAGATTGCTCTTTCTTGTGCCAAAAGAACTGTTATGTCCTACCTTCTGATATAATCTAAAAATGTCATGAAAATCGGGCCCCAAAGACCTATAAATTCTTTTAAATAGGGGAGGCTTGAGTATCCTTCCAGCTTCCTAAGAGAACAGCTCAGATGAAATCATGCCAAATGCTGAGTAAATGGGAGGGGTTTTTTAGTGGAAACCATAATGCTATGCTGTGGCCACATTTTCACAATACTTCGGGGGTGGGAGGGTGGTCCTTCTGCCTGGATAGGCTAGAAAGCTATTTAACATTTTGTTCAGGGGAAACACAGTCCAGATTCAAGAGTCGAAGTCATGAGACTCACTGGAGTCAAACCCTGGCACCAGCCCCAACTACTTCTAGACAGCTGTGCCTTCATCCTAACAAAACCACCTAGAACATGCCTATGTGGAAAAAACAAAGCAAAATGTAGCAATACAATGAATTTCAGCATGTGGCTTCTCAGGAAACTAATCCTTAAATCATTTAATATCTGATGCTTGTTCCCAAGTGCAGATGAAGGTGGCTTTCACCACCAAGGGGTAATAACGTAGTGAAATTAAATACTGATTTTATAACCAAATGCCAAATTGAAAACAGCTGTTTTTTAATCATACAGGAAGACATTCAAGACTTAGGACCAGTTGGAGAGGTAGGCTGCACAACAGTTTTTATGGGAAAAATATGGATCAAGCTGGGTGCGGTGGCTCACGCCTGTAATTCTAGCACTTTGGGAGGCTGAGGCAGGAGGATTGCTTGAGGCCAGGAGTTTGAGACCAGCTTGGACAACATAGCGAGACTCTGTCTCTACAAAAAATTAAAAAATTAGCCTGGTATAGTGTCACGAACCTGTGGTCTCAGCTACTTAGGATGCTGATGTGGGAGGATCACTTGAGCCCAGGAGTTTGGGGTTGCGGTGAGCTATGATCATGCCACTGCATTCCAGTCTGGGTGACAGAGCCAGACTCTGTCTCTTAAAAAAAAAAAAGTATCACATCCAAATCAGGCTGAGAACTAGCTGCAGAGGACATTTCACCTTGCCTTAGGAAACTTAAAGGAGGGAGAATCAGAGAAAGTCACTTAAGGACTCACCTTGCCAGCAAGATCCCTTGGTATTCTTCCAGTTGTCTCATGAAGCTGGGGTTGGGCTTGGTTACTGTTCGCCTTTCCTTCACGTAGTCATAGGCTCGGTCCAGATTCCAGCCATATTCCTTCATTGCATAGGCAATCACGGTGGAGGCTGAGCGACTCACCCCCATCTTGCAGTGCACAAGGCATTTAGAACCATGTTTCCTAGTTTGGGGGATTGACATAAAGAATAAAGGAAAACACAATAGTGAGTATATTTTAAAAACTTGGTTCTAGATTTTTCCGAGTCTCCTGTCCTACTCTTCCATTTTCTTTTTTCTTTTGAGACACAGTCTGGCTCTGTTGCCCTGGCTAGAGTGCCGTGGCGTCAGCCTAAGTCACAGCAACCTCAAACTCCTGGGCTCAAGCAATCCTTCTGCCTCAGCCTCCTGAGTAGCTGGGACTACAGGCATACACCACCATGCTCCTGGCTAATTTTTTCTATATATTTTTAGTTGTCCAGATAATTTCTTTCTATTTTTAGTAGAGACGGGGTCTTGCTCTTGCTCAGGCTGGTCTCAAACTCCTGACCTTGAGCGATCCACCCGCCTCGGTCTCCCAGAGTGCTAGGATTACAGGCGTGAGCCACCACGCCCGGCCCTCTTCCATTTTCTTGCTATGCACAACCTCCTCACCTTGGTTCACTCATATAAATCTATAATCAAATGTGTGGGTAGGGTAGGTACCTCTAGGGTACTCTTAAACAATATTCAGTGTTAATATTATGCTTCTTTAATTCATTCAGCAAACATTTACCAGGCATGTACCACAGGTAAGACAATGTGCAAGGTGCTAGGATGTGAAGATAAGTAACATATAGCTTTACTCTAAAAGGATAGAATTCCGTGGGAGAAACAGGTAATTAAAATTCAATATGGTTGGTCACAAAGTATAGAGGGAGCATTCTGAATTTAGACTGGAGCCCATTTTGTGTGTGCTGAAGACCAGTTTCCTCATACCCCCAGGGGCACGTTTCACGGCAGGTACTCTCATGAGTTACAGGTGTGGCAATGATTTATCTAATTTATTCAAATGTTATGAGTTGTTTCCAGTTTAAGTTCCTGTAAGGGTTTTGTCCCTGGAGGAAAGCACAAACCAATGAAACTAACTCTCCTCTCCACTCAGATGTAGCCCTGGATATTACTTTTTACACCACCACAACCTGTGTCCTGTTTAAGGACTGGCCACACAACCTGGGGAGTTGGACGGGAGAATGGGATGCACCACAATGAAGGAGAACTACCTGTTTGTTTTTTAATGGAGTGGAAGAAAGAGAAAACAAGAGTACCATAAAGCTACATTAACAAACAAACAAAACCTCTCGGTCTTAACATATCAGAGCTTATTCCCTTGCATATGAACATTATTCGGTTACGCTAACTCTGCTAATAACGGTGTCTGGCACATAGTAAGCCTTCAAATATTTGTTGAACGTATCAACAAACTTACGGATCTGCTGATTGGATCTGCCAGCTGCTTAAGTAGGAACAATATTTTAAAATCTTGAAAAAAAGAACTGTTACTCTTCCCACTAGTGTACCTGAGCTGTGGAATCATTCCCAAGTGGCTACTCCAATAAATCAAAAAATGTACATGTCAGCATAACAGGAGAAATCTATTGATTTATTCACTCACTATATGATGGTAGACAAGCTTCCTTCCAGAAGCTTATAATTTTGCTTCTGGAGACAGAGACACATGAAAGAGTTAAGTATCAATGCAAGAATGTATAAGGTTAAGTGCCAAAACGAGTGAGCCAGATAAGCTATAGGAATACAGAGTATGGTCTGAAATAATTGAAACAGTTTCAAAGGGAAGGTAAGATTAATCTCCTATTGGGTGTCCTAAGGTTGGGTGTGTGTCTCTGTGCCTAGATCATCCCAAATGACTAGGAAGTATCAGTTTTTCTTATGGCACCACAGAGTTTTCATTTAGACTAAAGTTAGGAAGCCAATGCACAGTGACTCAGATGGATGTTTAGACATGTGCTCTATATTTTCCCATCAAAGTCTGACAACTTTATTGCATAAAATTTCAAGTCTAAGCCTGTAGGCATGGAAGGTGCTCAAACTTGGACAATCCTAAGTAAAATACAATTATGAAATCCACTCCCATGAAAACGTATCTATTTTCAACTGGGATGTTTTTGGTGGATGGCTTCTAACTCACATAATGAAGGATCTGAAGTCAGTTCTCACCTAACTCAATTCCACCCTTCAGGTTCAGTGGCAGCCCCCATCCCCCATGCTGGATTGTCCCGATGAAACCTAGCATGGAATTAAGAACTGGAGTCCTGATTAGGGTGAAACGCAGGAGCATTTAAGGGGCACTCACTCCCAGATGCTGACCTGTGCTTGCAGGAGCCTGAGACTGAATGCCTCCAGTTCTGCCTCGCGTGCCCCATGTATCTCTCCCTGCTCCCACCTGGAATTAGCCTTTCTTTTCATTGGGACCAGGGCCTCATCTTGAATCCCAGCCTTTCTGGCTGAGACCCTGATAACTTGCCTAGTCTTTTCTAGTCCCCCTTCCTTATGGAACTAGACTGTTCCCGTACACGTGATGGACTCTGAAATGAGACACCATCTTGGTTCATGTCCTATGTTCACCACTTATTTAATCTCTGTGAATTTCATTTCTACAGTCTGTTCTCTTCTGTACAGAAGGATGACAGTATCTGCCTCTCTGGGTTTTAGAAAATATAACATGAGAGGATACATATAAAGTACCCGGCACATACTGAGCATACCACGAATAGTATTATTACTGGGAATAATTTATTAATGGGCTTCAAGAATATAAAACACTGTTAGGTGCTGCTTAGAGACTAAAGAAATAGGCTGAAAGCTAGAGTGTGAGGATTTAGGGTAACTAAGAGGAAGACTTTCCTGACCCATTCGGGTCCTTGAGAGGTGTGGAATCATTATTGAAGGAGGACTTTAAAAACAGAAGCATTTCTCATCTGCCAGGGATGGTTTGAATGTAGTCCTGCCCTAAGGGGCACATGTGCCAACAAGCTCATTTATGGTTCCTTCTAGTGAAGGAATAAATAGGATGGGTAAGAAAATTCACAGGGACTTAAAAAATGCAGTGTTGACATATTAATACTAATTAATACTAAACACTAAATTAATACCAAACAGTTTCACTAAAAGAGCTAATTAATTTAAGGAAGACATCGACACAAGGGCCAGAGAAAAATTTCACTATTTAGAGTGTCATAAAAATAAAGTAAGAGAACGGGAAAAGATTTCCAAAGTTTAATATGTTTTTCTCCTTGTCTTTAGAGGGGAGGACACAGTATTCTATAATACCTATCTGTAATAATTTCTACTGTGTATCTTTAAAATATCCCCATTGGCAACTTAAGAATTTCATTCAGAATTTCTTTTTTTTTTAAACAGAGTCTCACTCTGTTGCCCAGGCTAGACTGCTATGGCATCAGCCTAGCTCACAGCAACCTCAAACTCCTGGGCTCAAGTGATCCTCCTGCCTCAGCCTCCCGAGTAGCTGGACTACAGGCATGCACCATCATACCTGGCTAATTTTTCCTATTTTTAGTAGAGACGGGGTATCACTCTTGCTCAGGCTGGTCTCGAATTCCTGACCTGAAGGGATCCTCCTGCCTCGGCCTCCTAGAGTCCTAGAGTACTAGGATTACAGGTGTAAGCCATGACGCCCGGCCCAGAATTTCTTCCTTCTCTCAATTTCTATTTCTTTTGCTGCAACGTAAGTCTATTTTCTTTAATGTTGTGCTCAGTGGAAACGGCCAATATGAGGTCACCTTCTGGGGGCTTCATTTACTTAAAGGACAGTATTAAGTCACTAGTCTTTTGTCTAGGAATAAAAAAATCTCAGTCCCCTTTCTTCTTTACTTCCTTTTCCTTGAATACCATCAGTAAGTTATCTACAGCCCTTAGGTACCAGCCATGTGTGGGGCAAGAAGAACAGGGGTCAGAATATGTCTGTGGGACTATTACTTACTTTGCTTTAGAGATGAACTTGTAAGTGTCATTCCAGTAAGCCAGGAGATCTGTTGCCTCTTCATCATATACCCGGATGTTATGATACTCAAAGACTCCTGGGAAGAAGTTATCTATCTCTCGAGTGACATTCAAGATATACCGCACGCTGCAAGGAAACCAAGGGAGAATATGTGTTGTACTACTCAGGCTAAATCCAATCCCCAGCATTTTCTTATTTAAAACTAGTTTATTCCACAGACTAAAATGAAATACAAAAATAAAGGAGAAAACTAGAAAACTAAGATGCTATATTATTTAGTAGAGAAATTATACAACAGGGTCCTGGGTATACCTGGGCACCATGGAGTTATTGAGCAAAAAGCCATCTGCCATGTTCAACATCTAAATTTCATTTTATATATAGTTACATAATCTCGTCTTTGATGGTCTCTTCAAAATATGCCTTATATTTTATTCCAAAGAATCAACCTGAGGCCCATAATCTGACAATTTCTTTGTCGCTAAAATTACCAGCAATATAATTTGCTCTTTGGAAGTCATTTGTATAAAATCAGACTACTGAGACATGTATACCAAGAAAACAGAAAAGGAATGATTTCCTCCTATTTTTCTAAATGCTAGATTGTTAGTCTTTGCTCTATTACTCTCTCTAAACTACATGAAAGGCAAATGAGGCCACGGCTGGGAGGGTCAGAGAAAAGTTGGACTTCAAACCCTCTTAACTCCATCTGGCTGCATTCCTGGCTGCTATGGCAGCAATGTGTTCTGCCATATTGAAATGCTTGCAGAAAAGTGTTTCTCTATTACGAATTTCTTCTATTATCTCTCTCACTACACAATATCAATAAAATGCTTAAGTTATTTATTTATATGAGACAGAGTCTCTCTCTGTTGCCTGGGCTAGAATGCCGTGGCGTCAGCCTAGCTCACAGAAACCTCAAACTCTTGGGCTCAAGCGATCCTCCTGCCTCAGCCTCCCGAGTAGCTGGGACTATAGGCGTGTACCACCACGCCTGGCTAAATTTTTTTTTTTAAATTGTCTGGCTAATTTCTATTTTTAGTAGAGATGGGGTCTTGCCCTTGCTGAGGCTGGTCTCGAACTTCTGACCTCAAGTGATCCTCCTGCCTTGGCCTCCCAGAGTGCTAGGGTTACAAGCGTGAGCCACCATGCCTGGTCTAACGCTTCAATTTAATTTACCAAATGTTATCTTTTCTTAATATTGTGGGACTCAGACATCACTGGAATTTACTGCAACCATACAACACAGACTCATTCGTTTCTCTCTGAGAAGCTGCTTCCTTCTCAGAACTAATGTGAGGTTCTATAAACCTACTATCTGAAGTCAATGAAATGACTATAGAGAGAGAGAGCCATAGCTAACCAAGTCTGTGGTTAGGGTCAAGTGGTCATATTTCTGGGACATGAACTGAATCTGTTTTAACTTAGCATCAAAGTCCATTA